GAGAATCACAAATAACAGTAATATGCATGAATGACACAGTATGACACAATCCAACTACAGATTCATCAGTTTTCTCTTTCACAACATATCATCTGCACAAAGAACGTTAAAGTGACTGTGTATAGTTTTAGATTTGAAGCTTAATATAAATGTGTGCTCAGCAGATACTGAATACAGTAACTGTTGACAGCTGACCTGAATGTCACCGAGGCCCTGTGCTCGGTTTACATCATAATTGATGATAAAATCTCCATCGATGAGGGTGCCATCGCAGCCTGGACACTTCCTCTGCTGCTCCATAGTTGGTGAGAAAGAGATGTGTGCCTGACCAGGGGATAAATACATTCACTTAAGCTTATTCTTAATTCTTGTTCATAAATGTATTTATTATTTATCTATTGATCACTGTGAATTTTGAAGGCTCATTGCACCATGTACCTTTTTGTCTGTGACAGTTTTTTCCACCAGGGGGAGCAGGTCATTGGACAGGAAGGTTGCATGGGCATCAGCAAAAGTAATGCCCTGAGGCTCATAGATGTTTGCCACAATCTGTCTCCACACACAAACATAGACACAGTTTAGGATTAATGAAATCAACATAAAGCATAATTTAATCAAAAGTGTATTCACCTCAAACTTCTGGACGGGTGTCTTGGGTTTAACTCGGGTTAAAATCTCATATTGGCCCAGTTTCCTCTGAAGGAGCTCCTCGTATGTCAGAATGAAAGTCACGTTACTTTTGGCTGCAATGTTGACAGACACTGAAAACTTCTCCATCTTCCTCCCAGAGGCCCTGTAATAAAACACAGATATAACTGACAGCTTCTAATGCTAAAATGATCAATTTAGGATCTTTAGTTAGGCATAAAAATGTAGATGTTGCTTTGAACATTTAGTTTCATGTTTGCAATAGTGGGTTTATGTATTTTTCATTTTGACTGACTCACTTGACCAGTCCAGCCGTCTGTCCAGAGGAAACAGCCTTCTCATATTGTTTCTTAGCTTTTTCTTTCTCCTTCACCTCCCCAGCATACACCTGACCTTCGATTTCCCTGTGATGTGAGGCACAAAGATGGAGGACGACATGATGCAACACAAGCCAAGTAAAAAATATTCTGTATTATTGAGAAAAATCTGTTTTAGAGCAGAACTTTGAAAGGAAGCGGGGATAAACATTGTCTCATACACAGATGGTCATAACACATGCAGGAATGCCGTCAGAGTGAAAATGGGAGTGGAGAAAGACTGACATGCTGAAGTTGGTGATGAAGGCGGTCTTGGGCAGCTCCACTTCGAAGAAGATTTCCTGGGAGGAGTTTGCTGTGTTCAGGGCCTTGGAGGTCATGACGGTGTGAGCGAAACGAGACGTCACTGTGCAGTCCACTGTCACACTGTACACCTCCACCTGAGACAGAAAGAGAGGAAGAGATAACGCTAATGAATATGGGAAGCCTATCACAAGCACATATAGCATGTTTATTACTGTAGGATCTGCTCATTTTATGTCATTTTAAACTGAATTATTTTTTTCCAGCTGAGTCCAGCCCACAGTGTGCTGCTGTGATTGGTGCCAAAGAAAATTATAACAACTTGAAAACAGAAAAGAAAAAAGACATTATGTCACTGGTTCCATTTTGGGAGTGTTGTAATGAGGCTATTTGGGTGAGTCAAATTTGGGTGCTGCTAGCAGGGATAATGTAAATATTTAAAAAGCAAATTTTTTCAGTCACTTCAGTTATTCTCAATAATCTTTTGAGCCTGTTGACCTTTTCCTTTATTTGCTGGTTGCACAGACTTTCAGTGAAAGACTCATAACAGTCTGAATAGTGCTGTTTTGATCTGTTCAAGGAGGACTGGAGTCAGTGGGATCAGAGATTGTTTTTGTGACACAAGGAAATCAATAAACATATTGAACTTTCTTGAGCACATATTGTGTGAAGTCTCATTGCTTCCTTCAGGACATTACTATTCTCTCTCTGCCTGTAATTGTCACTGTAAGCCCTTTATTCCCCGTGCCAAAATTATATGTTTTTGTACAGCCTCATGACCTACCTCTAAATTATTTTCTTATAATTCTATATGTATTTATCTATGTATTTATTACCAATTCCACAAATATTATTTAAAATAAAATAAATTTGAGTTGTTATGCTATCTGTTGTGTGTGTACCTGTTGATCTGGGTGACAAGCTGCTGCATACAATAGCCGTTCCAAAATAAATGAAGTTCTCATCATAAAAACTGATTATTTTCTTACCTTGACCTCATTTGTGCTTCTTTTCTGTAACAAAACAAAACAACAAAAAAAAGGAGATGATTTAAGAAAAACGGTGACTGTTGCTTTTTGCTGTTTAATCATATGGATTATCTATGTGCAGTGCCTCTTTGAAAAAATTGTCATTTATTTTAGGTTGAGCTTTAAGCCATGTATTTATGATTCGGTGCCTAATACTGAGATTGAACAAGGACCAAAACTTTATTGAACATGTATAAACAGAAAGATGAAAATTCACAAAATGTAATTTTCACTGTTACATGAAGAGTCTGTCCGTCTGTGAATAGTTTCTGCCAAATACCTGCAGTGATCTGGCAGCTCCTCTTGACTCCTGAAATACAAATACAGCAGTGTTAACCAACACCAACAGTGACTCTTAAGGAAAACATATGTGTCACACACACATATACAACCAGGAGAAGTTGGGGAACAAAATGACTGTAAAAACAGGATTTAAGGTTTAAGGTGCAAACTAGTGAGCACTGTTTGTGTCAAAGAGATTATTCATAAGAGACTTGGCTAAATCAGAACGACCAGATAAAATGAACACTGGCAAATTAAAATCAGAGCATAAAAAGCTCAGTGTGTGAGTTTACCTGTGGAGCTTCATGGTCCTTGGAGATGACCAGAGCCCCCCGGGCCAGGCCGGGCAGCCAGAGGCAGGCGCAGCCCCACAGCAGCAGCAGTCGAACACCCAACAGTCCAGACATGACCAAACTTCCACTGAACACTGGCTGATTTCACTGCTGAGAAAAAAGCTCTCAGCCCAGGGGGGAGGGACAAAATGTTTCTGTGTGTGTATGTGTGTGTTGTCCTGCAGTATTGACCAACAGACCTGAGCTCAATGGGAAGGAGGCCTTGTGCCAAAAACGCTGATGCTTGTAAAACTTAAAGAAAATGTCTGTGCTCAAGCTCCAAGTGTGTGGACTGACACCAAACTTACACCTAATTAGATGTTGCCAATGTGACACCCAGCGCCTCAAGTCCGATGTAAAAGAAAATATCATAAAAGCACAAATTAATAACACCAAAATGATTATTTAGTGTAAGAGATAAGTTCATTATGTCAGCTCATGTTGCATCTACCACATACAGTGTCTGTATATTTAAATGGATGGGTGATGTTGACCTGCTCACTTCAGATCACATACCCAAACTACTTCCATTTCCATTGCCTTGAATGTTTCTTAGCTCGCCCATCAATCAGAGATTTCTTCCTCCTCCTGCTGGACTCTCTTACTCAACAGCTTGTGCTGCTTCACTTGATGTGTGTGTTTACATCATTTCCCCTTTAGGAGCAAACAGTGGACTACTGTAAGAAAATCAGAAAGACTCTCTTGTATGTGTTTTTTAGGGAAATTGTCAAAATGGGGACATGATACTAGGCTACACAAATAAACTTGACTACAAGGTGTCTTTGAAAGTAGATTTGTCCATAATTACATACAAAAAACATGGTGACTAGACTCAGCAGCTCAAAAAATGAAAAATATGGACTTAACTTTTTGCCTGTGTATTTGAAGTGTTGTCACTATTTTCCTACTTGGATAAACTGGGCTGTACTCTGCACTGCATTTGGTGGGTCATGGTCATCAGTTGGTTAAAGGGCTATGAAATCAGCGCTGTGCAAAAACAACCCGATCATTTTGTGGCGCCCCAATTTATCTGTGTATTGTGCATGTATTAGTTAGTTCCTAGTTCCTAGTTCAATAAGACGAGGCCTGTAGACAATCTGTGCATGTAGTAATAACAAACAAATTTGCTGTTACTTAAACCTGCAATAACAAAATGTTTGGCCATTTCAGGGCAATAGAAACAAGCTGATAACACAACACTAACTTATTATCACCTTTAAAGTTGACAAAGTAATCTTGTTAGTTGCCTATTTCCACATTTAGGAGAACTGGAGCAACATTGGTATTCATTTAGAGTTGTGTTTCTGATCACCTGTCTAAAGGTGTGTTCAGACAGAAAACGATGCAAACTTTTCCCCTTGTGCTCCCTCACTCTCTTGAGCGAAGGGAAACTGGAGTGTAAAGTGATCATTCTCTTTTGGTTTGTCAGTACCAGTCAGCCCTGTCACAGATTTAAAGTCCAGCTTTAAATTACCATGTAACATAGAGATTGATATAGTGAACCTGAAGTCTTTGTGCCCCTGAGGGCCTGGGGCCTAGGAGTTGTTGCCTTCTTTGCCTGAATAGTAATCCAGCCTTGGTCTCAAAAATAATCAAATGTTGACAACATTTTCTTTATTTAATGAAGACTTGATAAATATTGATTTATAATGACAAGCAGAATTATCACACTATAAAGACAGAGATACGTGTATAATTAGGCCACTGTAAAAGTAAGTACAGTGAATAATAATCTGATCAATACTCTCTTTTTAACACTTTCATCTCGACTAAAACACCTGAAAACTGTGAAAACTTCTGAATCATTTAGAGGTACTGACTTGAACAATAAATCACATTGAGAGACAAACCACCAAACTACCAATAAGACAATAATAAATCAATGAATCAACAAATTTATACAAGTACAAATGCTGCACACAAAGTATACCTGCAATTGATGATTTGTGTTCATTTCAAGCCCTAAATACTTTATCCTCTTTTTGAATAAGTCAGGTTTCCATGTCTTTTTTGATTATAAAGCAGGTCTAGCTGCTATTTAAATGCTGTAAAAGTATCAAAGCGCTCAGTCCACAGAGAAATGCACACAGCCTATATTCAGAAACTGAGCTTTAAAACCAGCCGTCAGGCCTTCTGTAGCTTTGTGATGTCACAACAAAGTCCCCACCCCAGTCGTGCCCCAAGCCCACCCAGACCACCATCCAGCCTTGTAGGATTTGGTTTCTTGGAGTATTTACCTGAAATCTGCTATATTTTTATTTGATCACTAAGAAAACAGACATTAAGAAAACAGACACCAACCTGCTGTTAGTAGAGCTCCAGAGAGAAGCCTGAGAGAGGAGATGTAAAACTACACTGAGATTGTTTTTGGTTCTTAAAACCACAAATATATCTTCTTGTGGATATCAAAACTACACTGCAGAAGTGTAAAATATGGGACCTTTAAATGAAAAAAAAGTTAAATTTCAATACAAAGGAAAATAATGTCTTAAGTAAAGGTAAGAAATTAAACAAAATAGCACTTTAAGAAAAAAAAGTCTTTGTCAACACTGATAAATTTAAAAACTGTTACAACACATTTACAGCTCATCAGCCACATTAAAAACATAAGCCATTCTCCAAGTCTGATGCACTGTTCAAACTGCAAAGAACAGCAACTGCTTACATAGCAGTAATGTCAACACACTCAACGAGCACAAAACAAATCCATTATTTCTCCCAAATTCCACTACCTACTGATTTATATTATTATATGACAGAAAAAAACACACTGTGATTCGTAATTAAGCAGTAACACCATTGATTCTAAAACTTAAAGACTACAACGTGTGTTTCTTCAGTGTTTCCCTTTTGTCCTGCAGTGTGTCTACTTGCTGAACACACTGGCTCCAGGAGCTTTAGCAGCAGCAGGCTTGTCCAGGGACGTCTCTCCTCCCGTCCTCACACCGCTGAAGACAGACGGAGCCACTTTGCCCATACGTTCTGAACACAGACAGAGACACAGATCCTTTAACCAGGTGACTTCTCATCATCAAGTAATAAGAATTACACCTGGGTGTCTGTGAGGGAAGTATGTGAGGACCATAATATCAACAGCTGTTTCTGTTTCATCTCATGTCTGTGCTGGTCTTGTGTTTAGTATTCAGCACACTCAACAACTGGCTCTAGCCTGATTCCCAGAAGAAGAATTTGGATTTTCATGTCTTTCTGGCAAACAGTGCCTCTCGATTCCAGCTCCTTTAATCACTTTTAATCATTCAGTTGACTAATGTTTTTTACATTTTGTGAGTCATCTCTTAAGTTGGAAAAAGTATACACATGTGATCATATAAAATCACATTCTCCCAACTTCACTTCGTGATTAGCAGACAGTGAAAGTTAGCTTTTTACTTTGATACTTACCACATACACAAACATAGACCTAAAATCAGTGAGCCAATATTTGTGTGTGTAAGTAAAGTTGAAAGGGCATAAAAGCAAACCCGGGGGCAAGATGTTTACACTGACAAACAGTGGGTGGGAGTTACGCAAGTGCAACTGGTGTGTGTGTGTCTGTGTGTGTGTGTGTGTGTGTGTGTGTGTGTGTGTTAGTTACTGCAAACGAGCAAATATTCAAAGGCAGCTGCAGCATACTCAGCATTTATAAAATAAGCCCAAAGTTAATTAAAAGTGGATGAAATATTAGAATACGGGCATGAATTAACTTGTCTGCTGGTGAATAGTATTTTGGTTGTGTGTGGAAAATGCTTGGTGTGAACCCACAACAGGCATTACAGTGTGAACACAGCAACATAAAATCCCACTAGACATAATATAATCATTCAACAACAGACTGATGCCTAAGCTGCAATAAAACCATAATTTGGAATATGTGAATAATGTTACAAATGTACTGTTTTGCACCTATTTTGCACACAAAATCAAATTTGAATCACATTATATTATTTAGACAGACTGATCCTGATTGTGAGGGGTTTGGGGTGACATGGCTCGGGCATAGTGTTGGTGGAGGAGGAGTCAGATCAGTATGTAAAAGTCCACTACAACACACTCTGAAGTCTAAAAGTAAGATAAATAAGAACAGCTCACCTCGACAGACATCAGTGGTTTATTTATGTCTGTGTGTTAACTTAGTTCACTTAAATGTAGTATGTTAAATTCTTGCGTGTAGGTGTGCGTGCTTTTTCTTTTTAGAGAAACGCGTCTTTTTGGTCGTCCAGCTGTCCCTGGTGGTCTAGTGGTTAGGATTCGGCGCTCTCACCGCCGCGGCCCGGGTTCGATTCCCGGTCAGGGAACACGTTTTTATAAAAGCGTCTGTGACTGAGGACGCTCTTCTCTAAAGAAATGGTAATGTTTGAACAACATGGTTACTGTCTTCGGAAACTAAACAGGCAGGTTTTGCATCAGCAGACTGTAGAGTATTAATTATTACTTATTCAGTATAAACACTGAAAATAAATAAATAAATATTGTAATCATTAATGAAAACGAGAAATGTATAAATAAATGTTGAAATAAATACATACATGTGTAATTAAATCATTAATTATATAAATAAATATTGGTAACCAATTAGAAAATAAATAAATGTAATTAATTTTAAGAATTATTTGTCTACACATTTACATCCATTCTACTTTCATTAACTTACACATTTATAATAATTTCCAACATGTATTAATGTATTCATCATTTATATATATATATATATATATATATATATATATATATTTGATTATTTATGTATGTATTCATTTCAGCTTTGATGCATCTATTGTCATTTTATTTATTTATTCAAATATTTATAATTTTTTGTATTTATTTCAGCATTCATTTATGTATTTATTCACTCATGAATAAGTGTTTTTTGTTGTCTATAGAAGAGGCCAAACAATACTGCATTCGGAATGAGTGACATATCTACCATGTCACAATAATCAATTTTCAGTTGTTAAATCAGATATTAAATTGATTATATACTGTATAGCAACAAGTCAAGCAGGAATAAAAACAAATAAATTCTCAGTGGGGAAATATTACATTTGAAAGAAACAGAAAGGCAAAACATCTTGACAGATGTTAGCGTTGACATCTGACAAGGTGTTATGTCACTTGTTGTGTGTTTCTGTGTCAGACGAAGCAACATGAATAAAAAAGGCTTTACTCACCACACTCTACCATGACCTCATAGGTCTTACTCTTGACCTCGCCCTTTAGTCCCAGTTTACTGCGGGCTCCTTTCAGGTCCTCCTCCTTCATTGGGGGACGCTTCTTCTTCTTCACCTCGACTGGCTGGAGTTAAGTAAAGAAAGAGGGAAAGATTATGAATGTTCAGGGCAGAGAGAAAGAAATGTTTTAATAAAAAAAATCAAAAATCAAAACAGCACATTTGATGTGACTTGGCTTACCTGTGACATGGTGATTAAAGTTGATGTTTTGATCCAACAGACACTCTCTCCAGTTTGCCAGAGCCGCTGCTATTTTTCTTGTGTGTCTTTGTCTCGTAGCAAGCCTGCCATTATATATAGTCCTGGTCCAGACCCAGTGAGTCAGTCATACTTGCTACCCTCTACCCCACTCTGCCTGTTGTCAGTGTGTATTATTAGGTGTGACGTGAGGGATGGTACAGCTGGAATGGGTCTCCCATCTTTTACGATAAGCTTACAGGCCAACAGCTGATAATTCAGCTCACAACACAAGTGGCTGTCTGCCTCCGCCTCCCCTGTCCAACCTGGCAGAGACACCCTCTTTTTTTAAACGTTGGTGTGGGTCTTGGCAATAAAAACAGTACTGAGAGTGACCACCACCCGGCAACACCTCCCTGCATCTCCAGGGGTTGGGACTCTGCCTGTCCATTGCTACAACTTGATTTAAGCCTGAGGGAATGTCTTTTTGGGTCTTGTAAAAAGCGTTTCCAGACAGTTAACATATGAGCCAATGAAATGAGGGCTGAACCAAGAGGAGAACGAAGATAAAATATCCAACTTTTCAGACTCAGAAAAGCCTTTGGTGCTTTTCTGATGTGAGTAAAAGGCAACAAGCAGTCTTCAGGTCAAATCTGAACCCATGCAAGTTCCTCTATTACTGGGTAAGGCAGCTATAATATTTACATCACAATTACATCTTTACCTGTAAACATACAGCTCCAGCAGTAATAATCAGGTGTTCAATCAAGCTATTTATCACGTACAACAATTTCTTACTGCTGAAATCCAAAGTAAACCAAATCCCCGTGTAGGTGAACAAAGAAGGGGAATCATTTTTGATAAATAGATCATATTTTTGAGGTTTAATTCATTTCAGATGTTCTTTTGTTAACATTTTCTAGGCTTTTCATTTACTGGATCCTTGTGATGACAACGTATATTTTAGGCTGAAAGAAGCGAGCAAACTGTTAAGGTAATAGTTGTCAGAGGGCTTGACATCATAATCTGAAACTGAGGTGTACAGTAGGTATATCCTACAGTTAGGAAGATGATGGACAAACTGACTCACTATGTTAAAATGACAAACTCAGACACAGAGAGAATCCAGATATAAAAACCTTGTACACTGAACATCACATCACCAAGATAACCAGTGAAGTCAAGGTCAAGTCAGAGTTATTATATTAGCCTTCTCCTGTATTTGTCATAATAAACTACATGTTTATGCAGGTGTTTATTAGGCCTTTCCGAGTGGAAGGTTTAAGGTAATGAGCATCTCTTTGCAAATACGTGTTTACTGTCCATTTAAGTGGGCTCTTTCTTAAACTATTGAATTACAGCCCACAGTTGGAGCTCTACGGTGGCTTTTAAAACCATGATTCTTGAGATGGAGGAAAAGCAAAAAACAACAAACACAACAAATGATATGCTTGTGTCAGACAGGGGTGGGTGAAATCAGCACACAGTGCACAGTGAAAGTGATACATGAAAAACTGACGTTTGTGTCCTTAAGTGAGGCCGATGAGCCAGGATGTTACACATTTCTTTAAGTGCTTCTGACGGATAACCGTGACTCCCGGCGCAAAATATGTGCCTGTGTATTTCCTCAAGCATTTGTAATAAGCTATAAGTACTAACTAGATCTATTTCTGGATACACAATCATGACTGCAGGTCCGCCGGCTCCGATTACGACTAAGTCTCTGCCTAGATCTGGTCTGGTCCGCATGTGTCAAGGCGCTACATCTAGTGGTGAACCACAAGCAAAACCCGCGCTTAATTTTGCTCACATGCTCCTCTCCAAAAATGACACCACAGTCAGGTGTCGTTAGTTTGTTTATATTGTGATGAATTACATCATCTCGACATCATCCCTGGTGGTCTAGTGGTTAGGATTCGGCGCTCTCACCGCCGCGGCCCGGGTTCGATTCCCGGTCAGGGAACACGTTTTTTTTTTTTTTTCATGTGAACTCAAGATTCACCTACAGCAGAAATAAAACATTGGCTCAACATAGTGTATCGCATACTTTATTGGAAAAGCAGTTAAAATGATAATTTACCCCCATCACCTGCCTTTTTACTCATCTAGTAGTTTCACTTTGAAAAATACTAAATGTCCTCTTTGTCCTGTTTGAGCTGAATTGATTTACCAGCTGCTGCAAGATGCTGTACTTTCTTCCTTTAAAATTCACACTCATTTATTCCTTGCCAACATGCCAAAAACATCATAATGAAATCATCACCAGCAACGTAGTCATCACAGTCACAGTTTATGTCACTCTCCATTAACTTTAAAGAGAACCACCAGTCACACCAACTATGCACACATGCATCCAGCACAAGCCAGTGCATACAGGTATACTGTGTATATATACTGGCATGCACATACAAAAACACTCACACGCGCGCGCAAATGCAAATATATACACACACACACACACACACACACACACACACACACACACACACACACACACACACACACACACACTTTCTCTGGTCCGTCTGGTCCACAGTCACTTAACAGTTTAGAGGTCTATGCATGTCACATTCTTAACATCAGAGCCTGCTGAATGCTGCTTCATGCCTGAAGATCTGAAGCTCTGGAAAAAACCATGAAAAGAAAGAAAAAAAAAAAATCTAACAAACAAAAAACAAACAAAACACCCGCTGGTAGTTTGACTCAGGCACATTATTGTAACAAAAAACTTAAAAACCACACAAAACACAAAAGGAAAGATGAAAGCTATGATAAATGGGAAATTGTGCAAGAAATGGTTCCCATATCTACTCTCCCTGTTGGAGTGAAGGAATAAAGAACACTTTTGGAACAAGCATAGTCACCTTTTTGGCCCAAAAACAACACTTAAAACTTATATAAAAAAACCCAACAACTGAAAACGAGACAAAGAACACACAGTCAGAAAACATCAGTAACACAAACAAAGACACAAATAAACAAACAACGTGCAGTCTTTGTGTCTACAGACAGATGACTGACTGAGTTGATATTAGGATGTTGTAGTGTGGCACTTGCAGTCCTATAGGTTTAACAGTTGAAGGGACCCTACCAGAAGATACAGTAAAAATGGAAGGTTGCTGCAAGCATTAATGTGCTCCCTCTGACATGAGTAACATTACATACAAGGTATACAGTAGTAAAGTGTGTAATTGTGCTCAAAAGTGTTAGTCACATGAATACAGTGATTCAAACACTCTGACATAATGCTCCCTCTAAATTTGAGGCGTGTCCAACTGCGCACGCCCTCTCTCTCTCTCACTCTCTCTCTCACACACACACACAGACACACACACAGACACGCACGCACACACACACGCACGCACACGCGCAAACACACATCACAGGCCATGGTGGTGTGTCCACATGAGAAAACAAAGCACAACGTTTACATGGAATCTACATCAGGAATACAATCACTTTAGGGGACATGTTACAGTATAAAATGTAATCAACTGCGTCAACAGATTTGTTTGCATTATGTCTGGTTCTGTTGTGGCCATTTAGATTTGTCCAACTAACCTGGTCCTGGACACAATATCATACACACTGCCACTGAAATCCAAACAGTATTAAACCAGTGTTACCTTTTTCCTACTTGACTCACATTTAAGATTTAACATCAATATGCTCATGGTAGAATTTCTTTTCCCCAAACATCTTTAAACTCAACACGTGCTACAGGAGTGCCAAAATGCAACAGTGATCCAAAGTACCAGGTTAACTGCAAAAATGTCTCCCAGCTTGTTAAATTAAATCCCAGGTTTAACAGTTTATGCAGGAGTCCTCCAGGAGTCAACAGTGAACGGATTCCAATAACCGTAAAGTCTTCTGCCACCAGAGAGCATCCTATGTTTGAAAAGAGGTTGATATCAGAACCTGTGGAGGAACGGGGAATGTACGTGTGGGCCTGTGTGGTGAACAGCTACCAGAGGAAATTCGAATGTAGCACTTTAGCGAGGCACACAGGTCAAACAGGGATCCCCATGCGAAGTTTTTTCTTCTTCACCGTCTTCAGGCCAGTTAACCGACGAACATCATCTTCATCTGACTCATCCATTTCGTCATCTGCTGAGAAAAGGATCTAAGGAACAGGAAAGGGACAGAAATATTAGGACTAAATGGCTTATTGGGAGATCATTGTGACATTATAAGGGCACATTGCAGTCTCTTACAACTGAATTAAAATCTGCCCCACCTTGGCAACGTTCTGGGTGGATAGTAAAATATTTAGCTTGGCTGAATGTTGTAACATGAATCATAGGTACATCCTAAATTCTCAGACTTTACATTGCCTGATTTTTTATCAATTTTCTCTGAGGATAAGATGTAAAACTCCAGGACTTTGCCAATACTAATAAATGGGTCTAGCAATCACGAATTTCACATAAGAGACAAATTAAAAAAGAACAGTAAAATATTGAGGCAGCAGAAGTTGGGGTATCCTGTTCTTTAATCCCTAGTATTGATGAAGCTCCAAAAACACTGGATCATTTACAGTACTTTTCCCATAACACAGCTAGATAGCACCCTTCATTAGAACTCCTTGCCTGGTTAATTCCCACTGCTTTCACACCCCACACCACCACTTGGAGATGCAATCTTTCCGTTAAAGAACTGAAGACATCAGGGTTATTTTCTCAGACTTTAGAAAGCTCTTCCACAGGCACAGAAGATATTATGCAACTGAGTAGTACAACTAAACTGAACTTCATTTGTAAAATTGGTGAAGTGTTCCTTTTAAGTAAATAAAAATTAAAAGCAAAATAAAAGCCATGATTGCCTTTGCATATTGTAACTACAAGCAAAATAATGTTCATATTATTTCTGTAGTATTTTCAGCAATCTTGGCCATTGGAAATGTATTTGTTTATTTATGAGCCTGCTATGGACAATAACCAAACTTATGTAAAAGCCTGTGATAACCAGTGAGAAATGTAACCAAAGTGTGTTACACAAGTTAGTATCAAGGAAACTGAAATGTCATAGATAGTTTAACTCCGTTCAGTTATACTTCAGCGATATTCCATGACTAATCCTCAAATGCATGAAATGTGTAACATGAAAATACACTTCATAAATGCAAAATGTGTATGCTTAAATTCCATAGTATCTGTTGAACTGTATCTGATCACAATGAAATGTTTTAACTGTACCATGCAAGTCAGCAAGTGAAATTAACCTGTCAGTAAGTCTGTCTTCCTCTCACCAAAACATGCTTTTCAGAGTGGCAATTTCAGCTTGAATAATCAATGACAGCTATTGCTGCATTTGAGCCAAAAAGAAAAAAAACAACATAAATGACTGTCATTCCTCCATAAATACAGTGAGACTAGAAAAAGAAACGAGCCAGCCAGGAGTCGAACCTAGAATCTTCTGATCCGTAGTCAGACGCGTTATCCATTGCGCCACTGGCCCGCTGCGCACAGTCACAGCTGCTGAAAGCATTACGTATGTTTCAGCACAGCTCAGCCCATCCCCCACCACTCAGCAGTCTGCTGAAGGCATGCACTGTCACAAATAGGAAGTGAAACAAACCATGAAGCTGGCTTTTGTTTACACGGCTTTGATCATTGAGATGTTAAAATGCCTTGAAAACCAGCTTTACATTTCTTATTGTGATCTAAAAACATAGTAATATGTGGCCCACTGACAAAATACAATTAGTGTATATAACAGAATGAACACTCAAGTAATTTGAGCAGTACCTGCTTTCAGAGATAAAGTCAAAACAGCACTTAGATATTCTTTGATACAAGTTGTCTGTTGCAAAATGAAAATTGAACATGAGTTTCCACTTCCCCCAATGTGATGTTGAACTTCATGAGTTTTTTTTAAGACCCTCATAAATAAAGAAATGTGTGAAAATGACTTAGAGGCCACTTTGTGCTGTGTTTCTGTTCCTCCTAGGATGGGGAGTTACTGCACTTGTGTTTCCACAACCTATGGTGGAAAACACAGATTATCATTGGTGTGGCTTATCCTCATTGGTGAGTGCTGAAAGAAGAGAAGGGACTGAGGGCAGACATAGATGTCAACTTACAGCTCTTGGACATATTGGTAATTGTAAAAAATTTGGAGTAGGCTGTGTAGGTTTTACATGCTACACTGGGGCATGTGCAACCCAGTGTAAACAGGAAGCAGACTGTCTACTCTGCAGTTAAATAGTTCCAGAAAATACTACACAAGGGTAACAGCAAAGGTCGTAACGCTTGTCATTCGTTATCAATGTTGCTTTCACCACTGGTAGTCGAGGCTGAAAAGACCCAATCAGGGACCCATTGTGGATGTGTAAGTCATCGTTTCCTATGGTCTCCGTTTTTGCTTGTCCAGAGACTCCAGACTAGAACACAACCCCGGAGTTTTCAAATGTCTCCGTTTTGGGCGCTCAAAAACACGAGTAGTGTGGACAGCAGGCGAAAACATCGCAAAAGTAATACTTTTTAAATCTAAAAAGTAATAGTGTGGATGTAGCTTGAGGGTTTCACTCGGTATGTCACCAACTACATCAGGTTCTGTGAGGAGAGTGTTGTTCCCGCCAAGAAGGTCTCTGCTTCCCTAACAACAAAACTTGGAACAACAAGGACATCACAGCCCTAAGGAGAATTTCTGGCATGAAAAGGTCAGAAGGAGCAGTAGAGGGCACAAAGGGACACACTAACGAGTTAAACCAGTTTTTTCAACAGGTTTGACTCACCAACGCAGGCCAAACCTGCCCCCACCTCCTCTAATGTCCCTGTTCACATCTCAGCTACCCCCTCCTCAGCATGCCTCCCTGTGGCATCCAACCCCTCCCTTCCTCTCCCTGTGTCCACACCACCCACTTTCTCCCTCCCTCCCTCCCTCCATCCCTCCCCTCTGCTCTGCTCCCTCCCTTTCCTCCCTATTCCTTCCCTCGCCTCCGAACCCTAACCCCCCTCTCATATCCCTTTCTGCCCACCACACACCCATTTGGACAGTCCTACCTCCAACATATTCACAACCACCCCAGTCATCACAATGAGCCAGGTGAGACAGCTACTCACCAGTACCTGGATTAACAAGACCAGTCGGCCTGACAACAACAACCTGAGGGTGCTTTAGGTGTGTGTGGAGCATCAGGCAGGGGTGTGTGGAGCATAGTCCCTGTGCCCAAGAAAGGATGTCCCAGCACTCTCTTTAATGTCACATGTCATGAAGAGCCTGTGTGTGGGATGTGTGGGGTTTTCATAAAGGAGCCTCAGAGTCTAGGATCGCCACTGCACAACACATTAAAATTGCACATGTATGTAAACACGATCATTGCATTTATGTATATATATATATATGAACATTGCACATGTCTATATATAGATTTATCTTTATTGTATCCTATTTTGTTTTATTTTTTACTTATGCTTGGGTATTTACGGAAAAGTTTTTCTCTGATGTTTGTCTACATTCCCTTGAGCTGCTGTGTCTATAGTATCTACTGGACTGTGTGTCTCTGTGCAGATGGAAATGCTTTGACTGTACCATGCAAGTCAGTAAGTGAAAGTAACTTGCCAGTATGCCTGTCGTTCTCTAACCAAAACATGTTATTCACTCTAAGCATTTTAGTTTTCATAATCAACAGATATCCCTCATTCCTCCATGAATATGGTGAGACTAGAAAAAGAAACGAGCCAGCCAGGAGTCGAACCTAGAATCTTCTGATCCGTAGTCAGACGCGTTATCCATTGCGCCACTGGCCCGCTGTGCACAGTCACAGCTGCTGAAACCAATACGTGTGTTTCTGCACAGCTCAGCCCATCCCCCACCACTCAGCAGTCTGCTGAAGGCATGCACTGTCACGGCAGCTGCTGCCACAGATAGCAAGTGAAACAAACCATGAAGCTGGCTTTTGTTTACACGGCTTTGATCATTGAGATGTTAAAATGCCTTGAAAACCAGCTTTACATTTCTTATTGTGATCTAAAAACATAGTAATATGTGGCCCACTGACAAAATACAATTAGTGTATATAACAGAATGAACACTCTTGTTCAAGTAATTTGAGCAGTACCTGCTTTCAGAGATAAAGTCAAAACAGCACTTAGATATTCTTTGATACAAGTTGTCTGTTGCAAAATGAAAATTGAACATGAGTTTCCACTTCCCCCAATGTGATGTTGAACTTCATGAGTTTTTTTTAAGACCCTCATAAATAAAGAAATGTGTGAAAATGACTTAGAGGCCACTTTGTGCTGTGTTTCTGTTCCTCCTAGGATGGGGAGTTACTGCACTTGTGTTTCCACAACCTTTGGCACAAACTAGTCTTGACATTGTTTGCCCATAAAAACTGAAAGTGACCAAAACAGAAGATGTAAAATCCACTTTTTAAGGATAGACTGTGGCAACAGGACTTAAGGCTGTTATCTGGTTTTGATTCTAGCATTCACTTGACCACTCTGAACTCTGCCAAGTGAAATAATTTAGTACCGATCTGGTGGTGGGCGATGTTTAACCTTTGTCTGCTATACGCACTTCCGATCAACACAGTGATGCAGGCTAAACCTGTGTTTGCGGGGGAATCTGAATAAATCAATGAATGAACACAAAAATATCAAAAGATAGTCACACGAGCCAGCCAGGAGTCGAACCTAGAATCTTCTGATCCGTAGTCAGACGCGTTATCCATTGCGCCACTGGCCCGATGGTGCCAAGACAAAAAATTACACGTCACGAGCCAAAAACTTGCATACCTGATTACTACCTCTTGACTTCTATCTGACCTATACTTCCCTGCCTCATTATCTAACCACAGGAAGAAAAATATCACATGATTAATAGCCTGTTCAATAGCAGTTGGGAAGTGAACCATGTTTGAGTTGTAAATCATCACTTGTAACAAATGAGTAGATAATTAATTCCTAGTTGCTGCCAACTCTGATCAGTGAGTATTTTTCAAATTGTACTCTTTTCTAGTTTTGCTATTGGCAAATAGCAAGCGTTCACTAGTCTAGAGGAAACGTTGAAAGTTCAGCATCAAACTTAATTTCTTCACTCACCAAGACCTGTCTCCAGTGGTGGAAAGCAATTCTCTGCTTTTGCTTCCATTTCTATCACTTCTTTTCTTCTACGAAGTTACCATGCTGCGAGTTAAAATCTTAATAAAAGAGACTTTTCAAGCCATTCAAGTCAAATTTCATCTAATCCTAATGCAGAAAATAAAATACATCGAGGGACCAACTGCGACACCCGTCAACATGTTGATGTTCTGACCCATGAGTATGCAGTAGTTATTACTACATCATTACATGACTACTCAGTACTAATGGTAGCCCTGATGTTGTGGCTGGTAATAATTCATTTTATCACCACATCTCCTTCAGCCATTCAAAATTTCTAGGAAGCCTGAGCTCTGATTTTCATTAAAGTTGCCAGCTCTTACATAAGTAAGCTCAAACTGTTATGATAAAAAGCCTGGCTGAAGCTGACTGCTTGAGTGCATAAAGAAGTCAAAGAATCAATTTTTTCATTCTCAGATTTGGTCAAGCAGTATAATAGCAAAAATACTCTACTGGGTTAGACACACCACTTCACCATTATTATTTTAAGTGTGCATTCATGTGTCTCATATAAAGCCTCTCACCTTTCCTGTCAAATTATAGCTCATTCAATTAGTGCTGGATCTCCAGCAAATGCCTACACAATCAGCTCCCTGGTGGTCTAGTGGTTAGGATTCGGCGCTCTCACCGCCGCGGCCCGGGTTCGATTCCCGGTCAGGGAACACCTTTTATAACAAACTAGTTACTACTACCACTATTAGAAGTAGGCAGGGATAATTCAGAGATTGCACACCACATGCTTTCTTAAAGGAGCTTTTGTAAGTTGTGCTATTGCCACATGGCTAACGTGGGCATTAGCAGTTGTTTACTTAACAGTCTAGAGGGAATGTTGCAAATTCTGTATCAAACTACCTGTCTCTTTTCTTCTATTGAAGTTAGCATGCTAGCCAGTGCCATAAAGAGGTAGAACTGCTCAGAGGGCATATTATAACCTCTTGTATTGTAAACACAATACAATCTTGGCAAGACTGATAAGTAAAAACCTGTCAATGCTAATGTTGGCTATGTACCAACAGGATAATGTACAAGTAGCTTCTGAAGCAATGATAATCATCCCTGGTGGTCTAGTGGTCAGGATTCGGCGCTCTCGTCTCCGTGACCCTGGTTTGTGCATATTCCTTCTGACAATCAACCGACCGACCGAAGGACACAGGTGAAAACATAACCTCCTCGGTGGAGGTAATAATACATAGAAGAAATAAAAAAGTAATCAACAATCACAATCATATTTTTTCTCCACAGCATCACTATTTTGAAAGTTTCCCACAAATGAATGACAACTCACACAAATGTGTTCAAACATTCACTGAATAATAAAACAGTAATTAGATTTTTTTGCTTCACAATCAAGTAACCAGAAGGATCCTTGTAGGTGCTGCACTGGACAACAATGATCTACTGTCAAGGTTCATAGTAACAACTATACTATCACATTCATGGTTAAACTGCACCACTAACACCACTAGTGGCGGGTTGTGGTACTTCAACCACTGTCCTATTTAAAGACTGGAGATTCCAGACATGTCTTCTACACACTGACAGACGTCCCTGGTGGTCTAGTGGTTAGGATTCGGCGCTCTCACCGCCGCGGCCCGGGTTCGATTCCCGGTCAGGGAACGATTTATTTTGTGTCAAGAAAGCTGGATCACAGTTTATTTGACTGCAAGGGATGTGTTTGTTTGCACAACAAACCCGATTCCAGTCAGAAATTAGACACCTGTCTCTTGAAGTGCATTTGCTGGTAAATGTTCTTGAAAATGTGCTTATACCAGACTGGTGTTATGACTTCATGAGGTGTGGGTGTATAAAAGGTGTGTGAGCAGAATGCTGCGTTGGGCTCATTTGCTTTACAAGCTTTTAAAGTGACTGGGAACCATGATCTAGGCAAAAATAACAGCTCAATGGCTTGCTCCTCTTTAAACTGAGGGTGTACTGAATTACTACCAAGTAAGTTCATCCATAACAGGGTGCCAATCAGTACTGTAAACCAGGAACAACTGACGGTCAAGAGACTATGTCATACTGAGCGAGCTTCAGAAACTCAGAAGAGGGCTGAAGAAAGAAAGGGGAGAGGCTGTGTGCAACTTTTGTGCCAAAGGGCATTCGCACATCTTCAACTAAGCATGTTTTGTTAATAAAAACTGATGTCTAGGTTCTGATATTTTCTCTTGCCTGTTGAGTCCTACACCTACATTAATACAGTGAGACTTACCTCTGACTCCGAGTCATCATGGGATAGAGCTCGTCTGTAGCGCACCTTGCTGTTTCCCCGCGAATCCTCCTCTCTCTCTTCCAGCTTTGCTTTTGTCCTGTGCTTCTTCATTAGAAAATTATCTACCACCCAGAACATGAGGGCCTAAAGGAAGCACAGAGAATATTGTGGAATCAACAGAAGTGATTTTTAGATTATTCACCAAAATTGTAAAGCTTTCATTATATTCATACACAAACAAGACGACTGCCATGATATGAACAAACAGGCACAATTTAGGTTACGAACCATGAACTTGCACAAAACACATGTAGTATGGGTGTTGCGAGAAAAACAAAACTTACGTTGACGAAGAATGGAACGATGAGCATGACGATGGCCAGTTCCAGATCAGGATTCTCTATGGGGTTGAGGAGAGCCAGCTGCGACACGCATAAACATACATAACAAATATACAAGACATAAGCATACACAGCAACACAGACAGCACACCTGGCATTTCAAAGTCCAAATATCAATAGGGGCAGTCCCTATCTATTTAAATGGAAGGAGAGTTCACTGGAGCAAACAGCACAACGTGCATTTGTGAGAAACTACCAAACATCATCAGTAAGTAAGCTAAAGGAGTGTTTACCATACGTGATAATTTGCAGCAAATGATATTTGGTTCAGAATGAATCTGCACTGCAAGCTACATGGGCGTGAAACCCTTTGCTTTTCTTTGTTTATTCACCTCAAATAGCAAACATTTTTATAAGAGGCTTGTAGGTGCTGTATTTGAGTTTTGACATTGTATCAAGATAAGAATGACAACAGTAATACCACACTCATAGTTAGTGGTAGTGTTCCCTCTTATGTTTCTGTGGACCACTATCACTTCTACAGGCAGGTTGTAGCCCTATAATAACTGTTTGCTGTCAAAAGACAGACAAAATGACACACTACAGCACAGTAATTACAGGGACTCGTCACAACAGCCATCCCTGGTGGTCTAGTGATTAGGATTCGGCGCTCTCACCGCCGCGGCCCGGGTTCGATTCCTGGTCAGGGAACATCTTTTTGTCTCTTTCAGAACATTTGACTTTACAGTCAAAAAGAAACAAATGTTTACATTCAGTGTCACTCAACAAAACCTACTCTGTACACTTGAGTTCTAATAAACATATCTAATGCATTTCTTTCCTCATAAAACATTTGCAAAACTGATATTTATGTTATTTTAAATCCAACATTGTTTACATCCATTTGTACTAACTTGTGGTCTTCTTCCCTGCCTTTGCCAGTGCATTGCAGCATTTCTTGTAATGTTACCACCATCTCTAGATCAGTGGAATAGAGTTGAATTATTGGTAAGTCTGTGTATTGCACTTTTGCAAAACGGGGACCCACTTATAGCAAAACAGCTCCATAGCACTACTAGAGGTTGAAAACCTTTTCCATTACCGATACCCATTCCAGTACCAGAACGTATTTATCAGCCGATACCGAGTAACAATCTGATATCAGTGCATTAAGAAAAATTTAACAGCTGTATCAGCTGTATACTACTAACCCTGTATGGCTGTCATATGATTGCTGTCATAGTTGTATGGCATGGCTCAGGTTAAACTCTTTGTAAAACATGAACAAATACATGAGTGCCAGAGTCTTTTTTTTCTTTTCTTTTTTTTTTACAGTGGAAACTGCTAATAGTGATCACAGTTACAGTGATCAACCGCTTATATGGTTCAAAAGGCTCGGGAAAGAATCCTTCCTCCATACAAATGCTATTTGAATAATTTGCTTATAGTGATCAAGTAGTCTGCTTACAGTGTTGGGTCTTTTCATACTTGACAACATTTGGAAGAAGAATTTAAAACAGTTGCAGCTTACTACTGCGAGCTGTCATATGCTCTCCGACTTATCTCTCCGAATGTCTCTTGTCTCAACACGTGTGTGTATCTCACTCACTGACCCCCGTCACAATGATTGGCTGAGGAGTAGGGCTGCCACTAAAGACAATTTTTCTATCGATTAATCTATTGACTATTTTGCCAATTAGTCAATTAATCTAAACGATTAATTTTCCTCCAGAAAATCTAAACGATACACAGAGCATTTTTTTGCTTCACAATCAAGTAACCAGAAGGATCCTTGTAGGTGCTGCACTGGACAACAATGATCTACTGTCAAGGTTCATAGTAACAACTATACTATCACATTCATGGTTAAACTGCACCACTAACACCACTAGTGGCGGGTTGTGGTACTTCAACCACTGTCCTATTTAAAGACTGGAGATTCCAGACATGTCTTCTACACACTGACAGACGTCCCTGGTGGTCTAGTGGTTAGGATTCGGCGCTCTCACCGCCGCGGCCCGGGTTCGATTCCCGGTCAGGGAACACCTCTTTATGTGTCTTAAATATGATGTATTACACATAGTGTCTCAAATCAGATACTTCAGTCAGTAAACTCACTGGAGTATCGCAACGTGTGACTGCGATTGTCGCTTTTACTTTCCTGTGTGATGAGTACATATATATATATATATATATACATGCACACATGACACCTGCTCTCTGTGAAATTAAGCACCAAACGTGTGTGTTAGTTCTGCAAGTGAGTGTGGATGAATTCATCAAGTGTTTCAGTAATCAGTCTGCCCTGATAACTCTTGCTATTTCTTCTCCTGTAGGACTTTAAATCATTGAACGGACTCGATAGTATTTAGAAAAGCACTCATGCTGTTTTCCTTGTTAATGAAATCTGTCAGAATAATCTGCATCTTTAATAAGCTAACAAATATTTTCAAGTGAAGCAAACAAGACAAGAGATGAGACCATGCTAAGCAGTATTCTAAGAGTTGTTGTGTTAAGAACAATTGAGGTTATTTTTCCTAGACTTTTCAACCTGTCAGATTAAAAAGGGTTAATAATAGCTCTGGAGAGCCCTGCTGCCCTTTTAAATATTGAGAATTTGTCTCTATTGAAAAAGAAAATTATGAATTATGAATTTCACTTATTTCACCTGCTATCTTTTCTAATCATTATGGCTTTTTTTCTGACCTTTTTCCACTGGGGAATGAGGAGGACCAGCATGATAAGGACTTTCTCAAACATCATGATGAGGATGTAGAGGATACACTGGCCCAACCATGCTGTGCACTGCACTGGTTCTCCTATACACACACACAAAGGAAAGAACAACAGACTACTGTCAACGTTTTTGCTTAAGTATAAAGTAATGTAGCACAGACCATTATTAGATTTCACTGCTTCAGTGATACACATGTACATGGAGAAAAAGAAAGCACTGGCAGAGTAAGACATGACATTGCAGCATTGCAGTACTAAGGGCAGCTACTGCCCTCCATTGGGCATTACAGGCATTTTAGGAATATGCTGGAGCTTCCACTTTACCACTCAGACGTATGGTTCTCACCATATTCTCCAAAACGCAGAGAATCCCACTGCCTCCACTCTACAATAGCACTGACAGCTCTCACCCCAGCGTAGATCAGCAACATGCCCAGAGAAGCATCTAACAGGAAGTTAATGAGGTATCTGGGAGAGAAAGAAAAGTGTGTCTGTCAGTTAGAGTTTTCCTAAGGATTCAACACTTCATGTCTACAAAGCTAAATAATCCTAATTTGAACAGTTTCTTAGTGACATATCTGTAACATGCAGAATCACGAACAGGTAAGTGTGATGAGGAGAACAGTCAAACACAGGATTGACTCACAGTGAGCAGGGATCTTCCTCTGTGAGGTCAGACAAGTAGACATTAGCAAAGTGGATGAACAACATCCCTATGGCCTGCTTTGAGGTATCCAGGAACCTGCAGAGACACAGGACAGTCGATATGCTTCTGAGGCACTCCATTTGATACCTTTGCAGAGAAATGAATTTAAGCTGGCTCAGCTGTCTTACCAGATCCTCCAGGGTCTCCTCTCATGTTTGGGCTCCCTGAAGCGTTTCACTGTGGAGGAAAGAGGGCACCACACAGATTGTAGGATTTTACTACAGATAACACACACAAACACAGAGGTTCCCAGAATCAATCAAACATATCCTCACAGGTCTCCTTTGAGCTGTCAAATGACCAGTGAGCATTTCATGGGTTTTATAGTAGAATATTTACTTAGTCCAGCTGAAAATCTAGTCTTTTACTAACATGTTTTAATTTGGGAATGTAGGTTTATGTGTCCTTTTAGGGCAGTTAAACTATCACACAAGCAAGTTCACGAGTGAAACTTTAGAAAGTTGCTCATCTAGTCTACAGGAAACGTAATAGTAGCTATTTAAGCTGAAGTGAGACAGACTGTATGGATACAAGGACAGAGGATTGAGCAAGGGCAATATGTTGTTGGTCACAGAGGAAGCAGAACTAGTGGCCCGGATCATAATTTAAATACTGACCTAATATCATGTAGAGCAGCTGTGAAATGATTAATCCGATTTCCTTATTTTTTCAGACAACAGTTAACAGGAAATAAAAAAATGTTGCAGCAATGGGAGAAGTGGATCAAGCTTGTGTTTGGTAATCAAAATTGTACATATAGCATGACGGTTTTAAGAGACATGGTTGTAATAAAGTGATGAAGATTAAACTGTTTGTCCAGAATCAGACTGAAAAGAAATAAGACAGTTTGTGTTACATTGCATGGAAGAGGTTTAAAGTATGCTAGTGTGTGCAACCATTGTTCCCCGGGTACAGACTCTGCAACTACTGTATTCAGTTTATGTGTATAAGTATGTATGGGGTGTTTACATTATGGGCTTTTAAGAAGTCGTCACTTTAATTAATCACTGTGTGTAAAGGAGTCTGAGGGATTTATGCAAGAACGCTCATCACTGAAAGCAGTGAAATGTCCAACACAAATAAAGCTCTTGCTGTTCTTCACAATAGTGGCTTGTTTTCCATGACACCCCCACCACCGTCTTCTTTAAACTACTATGACACAGAGCAGCATGATGACAGGGGAGCATCAGTGTTTTGACATGACTTTTCTACTGTCAGAGACGGACTCTTCCATTAAATGCATTGTTCGAAGCTGAGATACCTAAACTGGACAGGGACCTTCTTCATCAAACAATCTGAGCTCTCTAAACTTGCACTAAATGCTGTAGTGTTGCCCAAACATTTACTGAGGGCTTTTTGTGTTTTCATGTGTGCAAGTTAATGCAAGTTATGACCTCAGTTCCTTCTCTGAATGCAAGTGTGACTTCAGACTGAACACACCCTGCATGCAGCTGGATGTGATGTGAACACAGGCGGAGGCCTCAGCCCCTACTCCTTCGACTCAGAGAGCTGCCTCGAGCAAAAAAAAAAAACAAAACAAAAAAAACTAAACAAAGAAATGCTGAACATTCCTCACTGCACTGAGGCTGCTGGGACACACAAAACTGAGGCTGCTCTCATTAGGTCACACAGCTGTCTGTGCAGTGCCAGACACTGAGTGAATGGCACCACAGCAAAATCTTCAGAATGATTTTCTTTTCCATGTCAGTGTTTCCCTGTGTACCTAAATATAATTTTGGCTGCCAGCTCTAATGTAAAGTTACCTAACCCAGAGATTGAAAGAACATATGAAGATGATTCACAGGGAGAAATTAAACAAGAATGAGCTTAGAGGGCAACAGTTGTTCAAATACAGTTTTAACAGTGTCTTTTTAAAATGCACATATATAGTTCCTTTAAAACACTCAGTAAAGAGAAATGTCTTTTACTGTCAAACAGCTGCAGGGGATATTGAACAACCATCACCCGAGGTAGTGTACCTTCTACTGGTACTGTACTTTGCATGCAAATCAGTATTGCACAAGTAAATAGGAGCTGTAGGCAGTTATCACAATTTGAATGTCCTTCCAACACACATTATCGATGTTTGCAACACTCTGTATGAGTTTTAACATGAGGGGCAAAATATATATTATGTATCAGGAAAGGTCATGTGGCAGGAAGTGTAGAGAGTAGGCAGCTTTCATTACCCCTCATCAGCAATAGAGGAAGTTACCAGGTGTAGTGTCATATTGAACTAAAACCCCTGCATTACGTTTTAAAAGCGAGGGAAGGCATTTCTACCTCACTCTTGTTAGTCCACCTCTGTTCTACAGTCATGATCCTCCCAGCTGTGATCAATATGGTATTTGATTAACCGAGTGATGCTATTGGATAATTGCCCGGTTACATCAGCAGCTGGTGTCAGATATCTGACACACAGCAGACCTCTGGTCATACTCACACATGAGCGTGCTGAAAGCCATCACGGCGAGAAGTCCTTGCAGGAAAATCCCAAACGAGTCCATCAAGGCGCCATTCTCGCACCCCCGGTTATCAGTACCTGGCGTCGGGCTGGAGGGCACCGACGAGTTGGTTAAGGACACAGCGGGCAGCCCTGCTCCTCCTGGACCTGCCACGTCTACGAGCTGGGACAGCATGTTGACCCCACTAACAGCAGCCATGGGACAGAGGAGCTGATCGAGACTAATTAAGAAAGCCGGGGGCGCTAGCTTCTCACGCTGAGACTCTGTAGGCTTCCCAATCCTCCCCTCAGTTGATGGTCAGCTAATCGATATATTAAGCAGGACAGTCTTCAGTGAAAGACGGTGGCATCCTCTCCTTCGCAAGCAAGCACTCATTCTCCTGCTTCAGACACCCATGAAGACATGGCTGTTTATGTCATAGAGAAGTAAACCGTCGCTCAAACGGGTTACAAGAAGTTACAATAACGTACTATGTAGCTCCGCCTGACTCCTCTTAACACTTTAAAACCGAGCTGCAACATTTAAAAATCAATATTTTGTGTTTAGAGCGTCCGTGCCGCAGAGAAAACCTTTCCTGGCTCGACCCGGAATCTTCTAATCTGCGAGCTAACATTAGTGACAGACACTCGAGTTACATCTATACCGCATAACTACTCAAAAAGACAATAGCAGGGTAACAACTTATCTTAAATGTGACGTTCAGTGCGGGTCAACCAGTCAGAAGTTAATTAATGCCGATTGACAAACGTCTATTTAATAAACAAAAAAAATCCAGCAGCTGAGACGCCGCTATCATCACCTACCTAGCTAGCCTTCAAGCTAAGTCATCAGTTACATGAAGCTAATACCAGGCTAGCAAACTTATATTTTCTCTCGGGCATTAAATAAACAGCCCGTGCACTGGTCGTTCGTGACTTTAACGCCTGTATAAACAGCTCCTCTGCATTAAAAAAAAATGAATATGATAAATAATTGCAGGTCACGGTTCGCGTACATCCAGCTGCTTCCCTGCCCAGCAGTGCCCACTCATGTTGACAGACGTTGGGTCATGTGACCTGCGTATCCACAAACTGCATGCTGGGAATTGTAGGACAAACACCAGGAGACGTCTAAAATCCGTTGTTCGCCGTTTTTATTGCAGTGTTCTCTTTAAATAGTATTAATCTTTAAACATGAGATAAAAATATGTTCCATTGCTTTAAGTACTGATGTAACTACAAGCAAATGAGTAAACAAAGAACCCACAGAGGTTTTTCTCACACAAAATGAAGCACATTACAATAATTCGCACTACAGGAACAAGTAAAAATAGGAACTGATTTACAAAAGCATTTTTGAGAGTATCTTCTTGCTTTAAAACCGCCCGTTTTATTAAGTTAATTTGATTAAAAAAAACGACTATTCAATGATATGAAATGGCTCATATGGCTCATGAATTTGTTTTAACCATACTCCCCATTTGAGACGGTTCAGGTTTATTCTGTGCAAATATACTGTATATTTAGGGCATTAGCTCATTCCTTATGCAGAACGTTATTTGCTCAATAGATTTTCTTTCTAATCACCCTGTTGCACTAGAAGATATTTGAGTATATACAATATATACAAACATGCACTGTCATATTTGCATACCACCTAACAGTACATGGTTTTGCTTGTGCTTGCATTACAGAATCCTTGCACTGTAAACTGGTCTTTTTATAGAGGCTTGAACAAGAAAGCAATTTAATCTCTTGAGATAAAGGACCCTTTATGCAGATGTGTCAGTGCTGTATGTGTCCAGTGTTCACACTAAAATCAAATTTCTTGTCTTGCCTCACTGACTTTTCTTTGAAATCCACTATAATCAGTTCATGTACTTTAATATTATCTCTGGCTTTTGAGAAACTTGCAAACTGTATTACTTGTATGTACCTTGTAGTTTTATCTGTATACAAACAATTTTGTCTTTTTTTTTAATTAAAAGGCCAAATGATTTCTTGAAACTAGAAACCATAAGGATCCCAGTGCTTCAGGATGCAGGTTGGAGCTTTTGCAGTTTAACAGATTTTGTGAAAAACAATATTTGGTTTTAAGTGCTTCAATGTAAGTGGGCTGTCGTATCCTGTGTGTAACCTCACCTGCACTAAAAATGTTGAACTTATCTTTTCAGTAAAATTAGACTTCAGTGTGAAATCACCAGAATCACCTAATTTCTGACTCCAGCAGACAACAGCAGATGTTGACTAGCAGATACCAAATATTCTGGGCCATAGTGTGACAAGTGAAAACCATGATTCAGTGCTGTTCACCTATTAGAGACAGCAAGGCAGGCTGGAAGTCATGAATGGATACAATAGACCAATGGAGTTGTAGCACTGGCGCTAAGTCACTCTTTGTCATAAAGAAAGAGGAAATAAAAGAGGCGAATCCAAGGCACTCAGAAGATACAATTACATTTAAAAATAAGTAAAAAGGGCCTTATTAAAACATGCCTCAAAACCAACTTACATGCTTAAAAGCATGTCCATGATGATGGATTATATTAATGAAAAATTAGCTGGATTCAATTAAGGCTCTTACATTTATCTATGGCATATGAGTGCCTTGAATTCTTCTCTTTCAGTCCTCTCTGTGCTATGCTTTCCTAAAGAGCACCTAAATTGTTTCTCAACCAATGCATCGCTTCTTCTTTGCTGTTTTTTTTTGTTTGTTTTTTTTGTCAAGGCCCAGGAAATTGTTGCTTCATCCCTCTTATGTCCATGCTTGGCTGACACAATGTGGTATATGCAGGATTCTAAAGGATGTCCAGTGTAAGAAAAGTCAAAATGGGAAAATACAGTGTTTTCACAGGATTAATACACAGAATAGGATGTAGTCATGTCCAAACTTCATTCCCCATCAGCTACGTAGCAAACTGTTGATAAAATGCCAGCTTGACCCTCTCGATGTGGTGGCACAGCTTAATGGCCGGTCCCAGCTTCAGGTCCATGCACTCCTGCACTGTTGGGAGGTTCAGCAGCAGCAGCGCCTGTCCGTCAATCTCCTACAAACACATATAAGTTTATAGGAAATGCATTTTCTATATATGGTTTGTTTTTAGCTCAACTTTCTTCAGCTGGTAAAATGTTTTGATGTGTGACCGTGGATACAATACAAGTGTGTAATTGCACTTATTGCAGTCGAGTGGCGTGAGCTCTCATCTTGAGTGGCCATTAAGTCTGTGAACATTTCTCACCTGATCCAAGAAAATCCTTGCAAGAGGTGCACAGTCAGTGGTCCTGATGAAGCGAACCACATCAGTAACGCTCCACTCCAGGGGGCTGGTGTCCAAACACAACTTCTGAGGAGGCTCAGTCTTTGAGGTCTATAAACACACAAGACGGGGTGAGTCAAACAGAGACTCGGAGATCTCCCAGCCGAAGTGGAAAGGCTCACAGTTTATTTCAACTATTACAACTGATTCTGAGAAGAGGGCTTTCAGACTGAAACCTTTCATAAAAGAAGTACTGGCCGTTTGAGTCTTGTTGATTTGCATATAAGCTGTTTAGAGCCAAGAGTTCAGGTCACAGTGAAACAGCAGTTACAGAGCATTTTGTTTCCTTGAAGCAGGACAATGAGATAGAGTATGTGGTGGAAAGATCATTCAAAATGTTATTGAGCAAGGAGTTATATTTAGTGGGGCATAGTGCAAAAACTGATTTATTGCTAACAGGACTTTTTGAAGTATTCATTACAAGTATAGTGTTTGGAAAAATGGCTATAAAAAAGACCAGAAGATAAATATTTTTAAATGTTGATGAAATATTTTAAGAATTTATTGTTGGAGCATGGAATATTGCAAAAGGGATTTTTTTCTTCATTAACTTTCCTTACCTTTGGTGAGGGAGGGCGGTTCTCATCATCAGAGAAAGAGGGTGAACGGGGTTTCCGGCGTCTGCGTGTGGGCCTGGGTGTTGCTGGTGGCGAGGGGGTTGGCGTGGTGGGCTGAGACTTCCCAACAGATTGTTCGGAATCATCCTGGAGATCATCCTGCAGCTCTGAGCCAGAGTCTTCACTCAGAGAGTCATCTTCATCTAAATCCTCTTCCTCTCCACTGCCCTGCAAGCCAAAGATAAGGACAAAAAAATGTATTAGCGCAGATTAAAGTAAAAACCAAAAGGGAACAATGTTAGTTTAACAATGACTTATGTACCCTGTGATGTGATGCTTAATGAACAACATATGTGTGTGTCTTACCTGTGGAGACCCAGCAGGTGTGTTGTCCACGGAGGCTGAAGAGCGTCTCTTCTTATGGACAAAGAGCTGCTTCCTCCTCTTCCTCCTCCTCCCTCTTCTCTTCACTCCACCCTCTAGGTTGGAGTGGCCCCCGGGTGGACGGCCAACGCGTTTACTCTTCTTCTTACCATAGTAATATGCTGCAGAGAAGACAACAGGCTTATTGTGTTGCATCTTACATGTCTGAATGGTTTTAACATATTATTGAGACAGGAATTTTGTAGTGGGGTCAAATGAATCGATCAATCTGAGTTCAATATGTGTATTCTTTAATACACCTATTCTCTATGGGAAAAGTATTGTTAAGTAGGCTGCTGAAGTCGTGCTATGGAGAGTATGTGCTGTCTGGGTTGATATGAAAACATAAGAGACAAAAGAGAAACAGTAGTCATTTGTGTTGTTGCTATCAAATTGCATCAGTTTCTTAACCCCAAAACTGTGGTGCAGCTGCAGTAAACATCAACACATCTGAGAATTTTGTGGTGGCAAAAAAGAGGAAAGATGCCAATACTGACACACACATACCTGCTTATTCATTGCTTGTGGACGTTTATTTCAATTTCTAAATGACAAATTCTGTCCCTCTGCTTCACCGAATTTCTGTTCAACATTTATGTGCCCATTGATCATTTTTCTATTCATGATTAACACAACTGAAAAGAACTGAATGTTTCTGAACAAGAAAAAAGAGCTTTTGTGTTGATTGAGAGTAAGTCTGAATAATGTTCATAATTAAGGTGACAATTGACAAGCAAGTATTCATACTTCTAACCCCCTAATAGTCAGTCATCAGCTGTTATGTTCACTGTCTTCACTGATAATCTGATAAATCATTTACAGGCTCAACAATCTGTCTGTACTTGTGTAAACCACCTACTGTATTTGGTTTTGGTGAGGACAGAGCAGTTCTCTGAGCAGCGCTCTAGAACCATGCGTGGTCCAAACAGGTTCGGGCAGCACTCTAGCTTGATGCAGGTTTTCCTGCAGAAGTCTGCCACACGGTCTGCAGTGCGGACGATTTCCACAGTGGCCCGGTAACTCTTTCCCTTGTACCTGATATTTGAAGAAAAGCAATGTTGAACAGTGAACCAACTGTGATAAGTCTTTCATATTTCCAGAAAATAGTAGGTTAAAAATCATGGGCAGGCCTTCAAAAACAAAAAAGGTAAAAATGTATCTGAATGAATTCCCACTCACTTAAGCTCCTACTATGTTTGTGTTTGATCAAACAAGGTTGTTAAAACCAAAAAGCTCTCTCTTAGAAGTAACCCACATGGTGTCAGCTAAATGACTGCTTTAATGTAGTATCAGGAACTTGTGCCAGGTTCCAGTGTCCAGATATTTATTCACATTTGTGTATTTAAGTACATTTTTAATCCATCATGTGTCCTAATATAGGCAGGCTGTGAACACTTGTGATATTCCTGCAGGTTTTCTAAAGAGCGGAGAATTCTGATTTGAGGATTAAGTGGTTTTTCAACTCACTTGGCTTTGAGTGTCTCTCCATGGCCTTGCCAGCGGCTCTCCTGGTCCAACTGCAGCTCTCTCAGCACACGGCTGGGCTTGTATGCCGAGTTTATCAGCAGAGTCAATACCTTGATACAAGACATGCATAGAAATGCAACACTTATAGGTTGTCTACAAGTTGGAGGGTTAGGTCTGTTTTTTTAATGATGTTATGTGTAGCATTTTAATGTCAAAAACCCACCATATACATTTTGAGAGCAGACATTCATGATCCAAAAAAATTAAACTGCAGTAGATTGGCAGATTACTAGTCTCTACATTGTAGTAAAGAGCTAAATTAGCTTTCTCACCTCTTTGAGCACGAGAACACAGTTTCCAGGGCCGATGAACTGAGGTAGCTCAGCGATGCGTCCCTTGTTAAGATAAGGTCCTGAGAAACAGCGATGGTTAAAGTAGATCTTGGGACAGCAGTATTTCCCGTTCCCCTGTCCTGCACGTGGATGCAAAATGAGATACAAATGATGGAACAACCACACACAGTCAGTAGATATAATATATCACAGTCTGAGACCTGAGTCATACCACTCACCTGTTTCTGACTGGTTGCCCATCTGCTGCTTGACAGTGTCGGGTGACGAAGACTTCGGTGGAGTTCTGCTGTGAAGAGATGAAAACTGAGTTAGATGTTGAAAGGTGGTTGGACTCCCTCCATTCAAACCAATAAACCAGTCAACCACCCTGCCTCTTGTACTTACTGTTTCTCTGGCTGCACCACAGCGATCTTCCTCTCTTTCTCAACTGAAAAACAAGGAAAGATTCATGAGTGCCCAGTCACACTATTACAGTATGTCACTAATATGGTGGTCAGGGTAACTCTAACCCTGCAAAACAACTGCATTATGTTTATTGCAGCATTAGTAACAGTCTTGTTATGGCAGATGTGTAAAGACCACGAGAGTCCACTATGGTGACTTATTCCACACGTATACCTGAAGGCTTGATGGGATAGATGAGTGGATAGCCATTTGTCTCACACCAGCTGACAGGGAAGATGTCAAGGGAGTCCACATGAACTATCAGCTCAGGCATCGGCTGCTTTAGTCCTACAAAAACACACACACAGAGCTTGTAGGAAATCCCATTTGATACACAGTGAGCAGCGGTAGAAATGGCACGGACTACATTCTTACTGGTGTGGATGACAAAAATTCAGCTAGAGCCAGTAGAAGTGGCATCATTTCTCCCTATATGAATGCAAGAATATATACACACATGCACATGATATTTTAAATGTGTGAAGACAACATAAACTCTTACTTTTTATTACATATTATTACATGAAGTGTACAGACATCAAAATGTCTTGTAATAAGGGAAAAAATTAACTTAAAATTATTTGCTTCTATTGCAAGATCACCTGTGACAAAACACCAAATTCCACATGAAAACATTAATTTGAACATCAATTTTACAGTGATATTTCCAAAATGTTTTCAACACTTTCAACGCCCCAAAAAACTATTTTCTTTATCAGCTTATAAGTGTAAGAAATGTGTGTTGCCAGGGAGATGCAATTGTCAGTCATACCTGATCAAGGTTTTGACTGCTACTCTTACAAACCATTTGTTTTAAATTCTACTTTACTCTTATTAAAGTCTTTACATCTTTGAAATGAGAAGGTGAATATCAAAATGCTGTGTCTGAGGGGTGTGATACTTCTTTGCGCCTCTTTATGAAACTATATGATCTCCAAAACATTGACTGTGTGTATGAACTGGATGTTATGTGCAATAATCACTGTTTCTAACATTCCTGTCTTCTCCATTGAAGAGAGAAAATCATCTGCTCAACTAGATTAGATCCACATGGGTTAATGCTCTACATGTCATTGTCAGAAATGTGCTATTGGACTGCACAGAAGTTATACGTGTTAATCTTTATCTATTTTAATCTACTAAAATAAGCACATTCTTTCAGTGTCCCATCTCACCTTCCAGGCTGAGCCAAATGTATTGCCCTTTGACCCTGGTGACTGTTGCCACATGAATGTTCTCAGGTGACAACGGGTTGACAGCCTCCAGTTTCATGGCCTCTTTGAAGATGTGGTCACACTGCTCCTGGCAGGTAAACAGAGAAAGGAAAAAACCTGAGAGCTATTTCACAGCAGTGGATATTTGTGTGTTCTGTGATTTTGATCCACTATGAAATCGCCACATATTTGCTCTTTGATAAAAGGGGAGAAAAGTCACAGTGGGCCAGCTCTTTACAAACCATCACCCTGCAGAAACATGATCTCATCACAAGCATTTGATTTATCTGTCATTCAAATAGGCAGTCTAACTTCCTATGTTTTGATTGCAGTATATAACATATATTTTCTCCTTGTATAAATCTTCAAGGTTGCAAAAAGAACAAATCTGCTGTAGAAAAACTATGACTTAGAGCACTGAACTGAGCTGTGCTCAACCTGTGTTTCCCAACATGATGCTGATCAGCCCTGAACTCTTGCTGCAGCAAACCTGGTGATTTGCAATGTGCATGTGCCAAGCTGTGTACACAAGAAACAGCACATGGTAGACATAAAAAATTAAAGGCTGCTGCAGTTCTTTTAGAGGAAAAATGTGATTTTCCGTCTCTTTTTTGGAATTATATCACATACAGGCAGATTTTTTTTGTTTTTGTTAAAAAAATTATTTTTATTTTTTACTTGCAATCCAAGTAACAAGGTTTTAATTATGATAGATTATTAATAGTGATTAAAAATTAAATTCATTTTTGGAACATGCACTGCAGCTTTCACACAACAGCAGTATATTACTGTTGTGTGAATATATATACATTATTATATAATAATATTAATGTACAAAAAAAAACACATTTAATTGTCATCTTGACAATGACCGGTGGAGAACACAAAATGCACTATAGCTTTTCTTCACTGTACGGCTCATGTTACAAATAAGAGTCTAACCAGGATCTGATTCTGTATTGTTGGGCACATGATGACGTTTTGTATACTAAAGCCTGAGCACAACTTGTTGTGAAATGGTTAAAACGCAGGTTGACTTACAGTTGGGAAGCAGTGCTGAGGAGCAGCCTCAGCCTCACACTGTTTCAGATAATCTGCCCAGTCGAAGTCTGGACCCTGGTATCCTGCACGTCATGAAATAAAGAAAGGAGGAAGAAAGATCAGACAGAAAGAGATAAGCAAGGGCAAATAAAGGAACCAAATAAAGTCAAGAAGAGAGAGGCAAAGACAGCCTGAGTGATCTGATCACTGTCATTCCTTACTTTCTGATATCACAGATAATTGATAAAAATAAGTGGTTATCAAGAGAAAACTTTTGTCAGAGCAGACCTGGTGGGGGGTTCAGAGGGAGACCATTTTTGAGGCTCCACTGAGCAGGGAAGATCCCTGGACTGTCTCTGTGACACAGGAAGGACCGCCCTGCAGCCTCTGACTCCTCAATACCACAAAGGTCGTCCATCGTCACTCGGAAGTACTGCTCATCGAACACCTGAAAAAGAGACGAGGTCAATTTGGGACACTTCCAGACATTCTTAATTGACAATCACCATCTGTTTTGTTTCTCTGAGTCACACAACAGACTGTGTCCAGCTGATTGCAAAGTCAAGGAGATCTGTTAGGACAAGTCTTAAATAGCTAAATTCTGAATTTCAACCAACAGCATTTCAGCCATGCTGAGGCATGTTGGGGAATAATTTCTTAACTACAACGACAACTACTACTAACTATGACGACAGAAAGGATAAAAATTTAAGAGCAATAAATAGCGAACAGGAGATTAACATTGCAGCATAGCAGAGACAGATTTGATAGGAAAGTCTGTTACCTTGGTGACAGTGGCAGGCCTGATGGAAATAGGAGCAGCAGGGTCAACAGCCTCCAGTTTCATCCCTTCCTTGAAACAATGAGCAGCGATGGTAGGCTGATCCTGAGACAAACAACACACACATACAAACACAGTCATTTTGAAGGAGGAGGAGAAGGTCACAACTCTTGCTTTATGCCTAATTATCAAATCTTAACGACCAAATAAACAAAGTTGTGTGCGTCAGGAGGGACAAATAAGAGCGTGGTTTGCAGTACCTTACTGAACTCTGCAGTCAGAGCTTCATCCTGAGGCAGGTCACTGATCCTCTGTTTCACCTCCTCCCACTCTTCCTCTGTCCGCAGTGCCAACAGATCTGACACAAGCAAACACACAAATCAGCTGCTGAAGAGCAAAACCTGATTTCCTGGTGACTGCAGCATCATTTAATTATCAATTACATATTTAAATAAAAAAGGTAGAACATCCATCTGAATTTTACTTTGCGAACTTTCTGAATTATACCTGAATGTCTGAGTTTATATCTGCATGTCAGCTTGTTCTTATCTATCCCTCCACCCCTCTAAGGACCCCACAATTAATTAAACAAGCAAAAAACTAAATCCTCCACAATTTCACAACCACAAAACACACAAACCTCTTATCACAGGGCACTAGGTTCCAGGCGGCCTTATAAACAAGATGACATGCAGAATTAATAAGGCTGAACTTCAGTTGTTACATTTTGTTGGATATAAAAATGCATAATATTTCCCCCACTATTTTATGCTATGAGGAAACGCAATATAAAATGGCTTACCTGAAGGTCTACCTTAAACATTATGATTTCTTTCAAATCACTTTTACTGCTCACTACATCTGGTTATTAACTTGCAAAAGCAGGGTATCAGGTATAGAAAAACACCCCACCATTTTAGCAATATAAAGGCCTGGAATTAAATATCAACAAGGTTTTAGCTGCAGTGGTAGCAGAAGGTGGATCAGCTGTGTCAGGAAAGAGATACAGCCTGCAGTGCTTCTTACATCTTGCATATTAACAAACTTTATTCACTTGAAGAGTATTAGCAGATCGTGGCCCTGAAAACAATGATCTATCTAATCCTGCATGGAAAATCAATTTCAAGGTCTAGTGGGATACCATTTGGTTTTGAATATTAGTGTCTTGTATTTTCTCACTGTGCACTTGTCAAAGTATTGAAAAATGTTACTATACCTCACATACTGTGAATACATGCAATAAAATTACAGTAGCAGTAGCAAGTAGGAGTAAACATGACATTCTATGATTTTCTCAATAATTAGTAATAAAACATCAGATATGACTCTACATAAATTACACTGTGTAAGTTATAATAGGGTCCACACATGTCCAATTATATAGTTATACTATATAATTGGACATGTAACCTGTCCATGATTGCAATGTGAATTTGTCTTGTATCCTTCTAACTATTACTCGTGCCTCCTTTGGCAGTAAAGATCTAGACAAAATTTTCCCTTTCTTCCTTTTGTTTCTAATTATATCATCTGACCCGTGTCAGTGCCACTGACCTGAGGGAGGCCTGAGGGTACAGCCGTGCTCTTTGGCCCAGCCGGGAGGGTGGAGGCGTGGGTGGAGGTAAAAGAGCCAGACAGTTGCGGGTGTGTCTGGGAGGCCCTCGGTGCCTACGAGACGCAGCTTCAGTCGCCCTCCAACATTCTCCTCCACCTCAGCAGCCCAGGCCAGCTCCGAGTCTGCACTGTCCTGGAGCTCCACATAGCAGCCTGCACACAGGAGCTCCACTGGGTCTCTACCACGTTGAGGCTGTGGGGGGTGGGGGGACAAACCCAAATGAACACACACCTAGGCAAGGTGACAAATTTGTACTGGGAGAGAATGCACTGCATGACTAAGTGGCAGAACTGAAGCACGGTCACTGAAAGCAAACTAATGGCTCTAAAGAATTTCACAGGCTGTTCCTAAAGCGAATTTGCTTTCAGCAGCACAGCCATGGAGCTGTAAACAAAAGCTCAGAGCCTTGGGTTTTGTAGACTTCAGGCTGGGTATGCATGCCAGACCTCATAAGAGATAAAATCGTACCCAGTTAAAGTTCACATTTATTCCAATGGACGTTTTAAGTGTGAAGTTTTTGCCCTGTCTTTTTGCCATTTCAAAATGGGAATTACAAACACTCTACATGCTTGGAGATTTAAGTCTAAAAGACATAGCAAACAACAGTAAAACAAGACATGACAGCTGTACAGTGTGCGTGTGTGTAGAGACTGCAGAATCACGAATCTGATCACCTGAGGGTAAAAACTGTCAACTTGGTGTTTTTCTTATGTCAGCTGTATTTACCAAACTTGCCTCCCCACTTAAAAAAATAATGGTGAAAGTCTGACTTCATTGTTACAATCTCAACTGTTTTATTTACAGCATTATGTGTTGTCAGATTAATCATATCAGTACAGATAGAGGAGACTGTTTGTGGCTCAGACAGAGACAGACAAAAGCTAATGCCGCACCCTGGGTGCGATTGTACTCTTAAGAAAGGACAGCTGCTCCGTTCCTATGCCTTACCAATTCCAGCAGGTTGGCAGGCACGCTGCACTCCTCCGCCAGGGCCTTTTCCAGCAGAGCTTCCCAGTCCTGGTGCTTCTCACGTACACCTGAGGTGGATCATATGCATACAGTGTTTAGTTTATTCACCAAACAACCAGGTGGGCTCAGGATCACACACACAACACTCTGACCTTTCTCACTCAGCCACCTTGAATCACAGCATCAGCTAATAAATAAGAAAAACCACAGAAAGTCATCATACACAACAGATGATCCCATCATAGGACCTTCATACTGTGAACAATGTGCATCTGTGTTATCTAATTGTCAGCGACCATGTTCTGAACAAGGAAGATTTATTTTGGCTGCTTTGGCATTTCATTTCATAATATTTCTGTTTCAACAAGTTAACATATCTAGTAATAAAGTGTTAATATAGGGCAGCGTAACTTAACGATTTACATAGTAAAAACACTAAAATTGCTACAGCACTTAGCATCAAAAACTGTGAAGCTCTTGCCCATTTTCCAGCCATGAAACTCAAAACATCAGAAGCGAAATACAAGCTTTTTCACCTGTGAGCAGCTATGGCAGCTTTGTATCGGGAGAACAGACATATTCATTACTCCTCCTTATGCTGAACAAAAGTGCAATTACTTAGATGTGTTCCACCATCAAACCGTATTTTGACAACATGTGCATGGTATGAAAAACCATGTGACTTCTCCACTGCTCATCTGTCCCCGAAGCACTCAGAAAAAAGACAAAAAATCCTAAAGCAAAAATATCTACAGAAATATGTATAAACTTCACATCTGCAATTTGTCGAATGCACAAAATTAAATAATAATATTTGGCACCAGAGCAACATTTCATCTCAGATGTTTGTTGATCCCCTGCATATCAGCCACTTTTAATGTAATCACTCAACTCTACAACCTTTGAGTGTCCATAGGTGGATTACAGCTTAAAGAATACCTTTCACAACAAAAAAACAGACCCTGCCAACCCCAGCCATGCCTCACCCTCAGGGGCCCTCATGGTCTTGCCCTGCTGGCGGCTCCAGCCCAGCGGATGGAGGTCTGCCGTCATGATGTCACACCAGAAATCGGCACGCCGGTCATCCTGGTATCCCTCATAGCGTAGCAGCAGCAGCTGGCCACATGTAGTTATGATGTTGGCCACCCAGTAAGGGCTGTCGGCCTCTGAGCGCACACACACCTCCAGCTTCATGCCTGGAGTCAGTCCGGTCTGTAGACCCTGGTCCACCTGAGAAAGATACAGAAGAATAGAGAAACATGAAGTCATTCATTTTATTGAAAAGTTACATTTAAACCAATTTCAGCTTTACACAAAAAAAAAACACCAACAAAAGTGCACAAATAAAAGAAACTACTTTTGTTCTATGCTAATAATGACTTTTATTCCAATCAAACCAATCTGCCAGTTTGCATAAGTATTATGCAAACTTACACTTTTCCAGAGTTATATCTGAAGTTGTGATTGATATAGTTACATCTCTTCTCTAACACTTCTGTTTGGAGCTTGAACAACATCAGGACATTTTGTGTCTGTCTCTGAGCCCTCTTCTGATTGGCTGACTGTTTTCTGAGTGACGCAGGGCCAAGCCAACTACAGGAAATGGATTGCTGCCTACTACTGTAGCTTGGTAAAAATTACCACTGAAATGAGCTGAACAGACATTCAAATTCTGACTAAAAACTTTTGGTATTTCAGAAAAATTAACCTTACCCACTCGCCTTTAATATTACTGTCCTTGGGGAGGCTGTGCAATGATATATTGACTTCCTAACAACCAATGATTGTGCAGTGTTTGACATTTTCCTCTCTTGTAGCTTGCTAGCTTGCTAGCTAGCTGACCGCTTGGTGTTGCATTGTCAATAAAGTTTCTCTTTTTGGATATTTTCACAGCACCTTCACCTGTTTTGTTACAACTGGTAATGCTACAGTGACTTGTGTGTTTATGCTATGACTTGCTTTGTGATTGGATGCTGCTGAAGGTGTTTCTTAGGAACCACTTTACACATTACTAAGGGCTTGACCCGCTGACACATTCTATGCATGTGAGTCATGGTTCAGATTTAATTCATCGTTTGAAACTAACTACCATTTACTTGAATCACTTTACACAGAAGCTAAGTAATAGATTATGAGTAGCTGGTACAAGCTTATCCAGAGATGTGTGTAAGCTGGGTTGCTAGGATGTCAGCACCCACATGTTTGAAGGCGTGATGGGGCACAGATACGGTTCCAGTCTCCTCCAGGTAGTCATCCCAGTTGAAGTCACACACATCCTGAGCAGAGTCTCCATCTGGAACACACACACACACACAAAACATTGCTTCTTTCCAAACTGCTTTCCAACATTTTATCTTACTCATTTCACGCAGCTGTTCACAGAGTAGTTCTTACCAGACTCCAGTGACTCCTGACTCATGCTGGTGCCCCCTCAAGGCCAAGACAAGGCGCTCTGAGGAGGAACAGAGGAGGATTATTATTATCCTGTGAGAGTAAATGAATGAGCACTGGTCCAAAACTGTGGTGACACAGAGACGAAAACATGGAAATTAAACTATTGCACTGAGCCACCCTATTCACAGTTATTTTTATCAATAACCTCAAAAACTATAAGATTAATGAGACAGGTGATACCGCTGGCTTGTAACACCCCGCTCAGCACTTCACAAGCCAAACTGTATCAGCAAGAAGTTACACAAAGAACTGGAAATCACGGTCAAGACTTAGTCTAGCTGACTATCATACCCAAAGTACACCACTCAAGATACACGACATCTATCAGCAAAAAATGTGTCGCTAGAGATAACTAAAATACAAGTCCACATTAAAAGTAATTTATATACCAGCATTCATGACTCTAACTAGTAGGAGAAACAACAACCTTAAGCCAAGCCCTCGACTCAAGAATGACAAAATCCAACAGCTGTAACTTGAAAACCCTGCTTCAAGGCCAAAATGACAAGAATTTGCATTTGTTTGAATTCCTCAGTCATTCTAAAATCAATGACTGTCTAGATAATAGAGCTGTTCAGATACCAAATCTTTGGTTAAGTTACACCATCAATATTCAGGCGCTTCTATCTGGCCCTGGCCTCAGTCAATACAAACCCGGAGAAGTGGTGAATAAAATCACAAATTACGTGCTGCATATTTGCCATTCATTAGGGCAGCACAGGCTACCACCTAAGTAACACACCAGATGTGATCGGGAAATATATTAAAGTATGCTAATTTCATCCAGCCTCACCTCTACTTGTGAAACTCATTAGGGCTTATTTAAAAACCGTAATCCAATACCTTTTCCTGCCCCGATGTAAAGATTCAAACAGCGCCTTGACATGAATGTGGACGCACACATCAAACTCTGACACATCAAACTGATCGGCAGCATTGTGGAAAGCTGATGCAATAAGTTAATGCAACAAGAGAGATGGCATGAATGAGGGAGAAGGGAGTGCTGGGCGTGACAACAGTGAAGAGAGCGGTGTATGGGATGCTGAAGATAGCTGCTCTGTCACGGCTGCTCCATTCAGCTGGCCTGTCAGGCTCGTCTTTGTCATGTCTTGACGTCTCTATTAAAACGAGGGCCGCCATCAGAATCCACCCCCTCCCGACCACCGGACTGCCACCGCGACCCTCGTGCTCTGTTGGGATCAGCACCGCCTTTCACCCCTCGACCCTGCCCCAGACTCCCTCTGTCTTTCTCCCCCTCCCTCCAACACATACATACACACACCAGAGGGCCTCATTGTCCCTGGGGTCACACTCCTAGCATAAGAGTGAAGGAAAAAAAAAAAAAGAGCTAAAGTTAAGAAGCTATATTCCAACACCTGATGCCAACATTTCTACATATTAGACCATTTATGTATTCAAGGTAAAGTCGATTCTGTTTCTATTTGTGATATTTCAACCTCTAAATTCCTGGGACCTTCTTCAACAATCAATTCCGTGGTCTTTCTGTTTGTGAACATTTTTGACGCAATTTAAACAAAATGAAAGTGAATCAGTCCTTTTCCAAAAGCATAAAATAGTGTCTGTGTTTGAATAATGCCTCTTAGTGACACACTGATTGCAAAATTTCTACTATCAAAAAGAACTAACAAAAAAAAGCTTTCAAGGTTTGCTCTGACTTATTTGGCTGTCGATGCTGTAGGTTTCTGCAGCACTTAACTTCGTAGAACAGCACAGGAAGAAAAGCAACTTCCCCTCTTTCATATAGCCTAAAGTAAGTGGTCTGTATGGACCACAGCTATCAGCAGTCTGCCTGAATCTTTCTGCACCACCCGAGACTCTGACTGAACCTGAAAGAGAAAGGGCTAAATGTGCACACTCCCACACAAACACACAGACACACACATAAATAAGCACTCACAAACAACTGAAATCCACGCTGCACCCTCTATACAAGCACTAACTGAATCATATTCTCATCAGCACTTAGTATGCGATTGAGCATTTCTAAACAAGCCTTCCTGAACCTCTGTGGTCTCTGGGCAGGAAATGCAGTCAAATAAAATATACATTCACACACATTTTAACATGAAATAAAATCAAAGTCAGCTTTCAATAAAATGAAATTATCTACTGAAACATTTCCCCTAACACTATTTAATGGCTCTCTGCTGATCACCAGTAGATGACTTTATATTACAAGCAGTAATGTAGCAGAAAATCAGTATGTCCTCCTGTTAGTGTCCACACTCTAATATATGCAAAACCTGTTTTCAGAAAAGGACGTATTTGTTTTTATTGATATCATTTCAACTGTTACCACGAAGTGTGATGTAAATTTGTAGCACTAAAAAGCTTAAAGAGAAAGTGCAACCACATTACCAAACCATACTTTCTCATTTACCTGTACCAGTGTAACTTTTTAATGAGCTATACTGTATAGCTTTGGTTTGATGGTTCCAGATTTTGAGCTATCAATCATTGACATTTCTGCTTTTGCCACAACGCAACAGAGGAGGAACTCTAAATAATCAACAGATGTTGTTGTTAACAGTTTTCATAGGAACTATTTCTTCAGTAGAAAGTAGTTCCAATGACAACTGTTCACAGTGAAGTCTGCTGTTTAGCAAGATTTACATGAACATTGTTTCTGCTGCTGTAGAATTTTTCAAATGTAACATTTCAACCACTGTACAAACAAAATGTTATTTTTCTCCACTGTATTCAAGTGAGGGCAGAAATTTCACTTAAGGATGTCTGAACACTTGGCACCATAACACCAAAGCCATCAGGAGGAAGGGTCAATAGCACAAGGCCCTGGGAAAATATGCTTTGTTTTTGTAATTTGGGTGAAATGATACCTCAACATTTGGTAAATAAAGCTGACTGTAGGTTTTATACTCCATGTCACTTCTGCAAATAGAATTGAATTGAGAATCAAATTATAGTGCAGCACAGAGGAGGTTCCCATCGGGTACTCCGATATGTTTAACTGCCAAGGTGATTTAAATAACTTCACATGCATTAATATGGACATTAGCACTGAAACCCAAGAAATAAGAGTTGGCCTGCTCAGTGGTAATCCACGAGCTCTGCCTGCCCTACTACAACTTGAGACCAAACAGGATGCTGCACTGAAAGAAACCCACATTTCTTCCACACAGCACGAATAAATAACAACACTATTTCGTTCAACTGCTCCATTCAGTTGCAAAAATGCTGCTGGTTGCCATTGCATAGCGGCACGTCAACTGGAGCAGCGCTGCCAGCGGATCACTCAAGTTGCACAATAGGGAAGTTAAGAGCCAGAAGAAAAATAGGTTGCAATAAGTCAACGTGGAATATGACAACAAAATGACAACCGGTGCATCATCCTGTTTAAGAGACCTTAAAGGCAAACTAAGACGAAAAGCCTTAATAAACAAACGAGTTTATTTAGCCCATTTGGTGAGGGCTACGCAGAAATACAAATCGGCTGAGGTCGTGCAACCTTCATTATATAAGACTTCGACATTATAAATATACTGAGTTATTCGAGGGCATATCACTGGGAATTTCCACACAAACCTTGAAGTGTAACTACCTTGAGATTGCACTGCTTGTACAGACTAACCGCAGCATTCAGAAGCAGAGATGGGCCATTAACGCAACGGCTTTGCAGAGAGACACTACAGCGCCGACGGTCTAACTTTCACACTGAGGAGAACATGACACATAGCGATTAAGAGAATGGTCAAATTGCTGTCTAATAAATAGACATGCGGTCCTAAATGCATAACGGTCGTGTGGGACTCATCGGACACATGGTAAAATCGCCTGTGTCCGAGTCAAGTTACTGAACGTCACGGCTTGAGCAATAAGAGCAGGCTGACGAGCAATAAGGGCGCTTACACTCGACCGAACCCGACTCATCTTTTTGAGAGACGGGAAAAAAGGCGAATGCGCCACCACAATACAAAACACCGTTAGGAATTTGTAACAAACAACACAGAGTATGTGAATATTTAGTCGCAAAATTCGCCTCTTACCGCTAAGTAGTTTTTCCAAGTCGGTTTTTAGATGCCGTTCCTCTCCGCCTGCTTGCTGGCAGCAATGTTAAGCTATTGCGAATAAAAACCGGGAGCCCCGGTTGGATGTTTCAAAATACAACGGCTATAAGAGCGGACGTTCCAACTGTCGTCGAGGCAACAGCGGGGCTTTTCGTGTTGAGGATAAAACCGCAATACTTCCGGTGTCGCTCTAGCAGCGCCTCACTAGCTTGACGCAGTTCTCGTTCACGACCTCATTCCAATATGGCACAAATGGCCACTGCGCATGTTCTGCCGCCTATATGCCTCTGAGCCCGGCTACATCACACTGACTTCCATCTTCACACACACAATAAAATATCACACAACCAGAATCAAGACTAATATCTGTAAGACGAACAAAAGAAAAGAAAAAAAAAGCAGACAGACCTCTACTTACATTAATTCTTATAAACATGGGGTGAAACTGATCAGTCGTTAAAGGGTTTTATCCCCAGCAGTATCAACACTTTGTTAATGGTTGAGCTGGAATTAATTGCACATATAATCGACCCACTTTCGATAAGTGGAGTGGTTTTTTTGCTATGAAAAAGCTATTCGTTCAGTAATGAAGTTGCACATATATTGTGTTATTGAAGATGACCTCGAGTTGCTTAATTTCTCTTCAGTGTAATATTTGTTAAGTAAATGAAATACGCCACTATGCACCATAAAGGCTGAATGGACCACGACTTTTTAAATAAATCACCATAGCGTCCCATCATAATGACTGGATGGAAATTCTGTGTGTCACTGCTGGTACGGTACTTCTGCTGCACAGGGAGCTCAAGTCGGGTTTTTGGAGGACAGGGCGGGAGAAACTGCTGGAAATATGCGTTGACACTGTGGGTGCAATGCTCAAAGTCCATCTGTGTTATTTTATAAATGTGCTTTCTTCATGAAATAAGTGTATTTCTCGTTTTGGAAAGCGTTTTCTAGGGGCACACAAGCCTAATCCGTTGTCTGAAACAGGTTTTGCCGCTCACTTGGACCATATATAGGCTACTGCCTCACATAATCCTCCACAATAGACCAACCCTTCGGATGCCTATTATAACAAAAGAAAAAAATATCCGCGTTTTGTATTCGTTGAGGTGGAAACAGTACAATAAATGTGGGCTACAAAAAGCGATCGGATCTTGCATGAAGAGTCGAAACAATCGGAGAGCCATGAATAAATCAAGCTGGGGGGGGGGGGGGGGCATTTACTCCCAAATTCATTCAGTCATTGTATTTAAGTGTAGAGGTTCTCCCTCTGTAAGCTCTCTAACAGAAGACTATAAAACTAGAGTAAGGAATTTAGATTTAGCAAATACAATAAAATCTGTCTGTTTTTGTTTGACTGTGCTCTTTCGTTTTCGGACCATGCTTTTTAATCTGACAATTGTGTGGAGTCATTTCATTTTCAAAAGGTCTATAACTTGAATGCTGGGTTAAGGCTGTTTGCATAAAGGCAAATTTCTCAACAACTTAAGCAGGTTTATCTCTTAGTGCAGGCTGCCGTTTCTTGCCTCATGTTTGGTATTTGTTCAGTGTCCATATCCTGCAGCAGGCGGTGGATTACTGCTGGGGACAGAGGACGAGGACAGGTCATAAGCCGTGCGCACTGCAGGAATGCCTTTCGTCCACACGTTAAACAGAAGGGTGTAATTACAACACCTGACCGCTAGACGACAGTAAAGCCTGACTGGTCTTTCTCTCACACTAACACCATTCCTGTGGCACTTGGAGATGTTTTGGTGCCCTCACACAGGGCCTGTCATATTCAGTGGTGAGGTGGTGCAGACGCTATGCCACAGCAATGGCATTTCTGTTTACAATAGGATTTCTGTTTTTGTAAGATACAATAAATACATTTTTATATATGAAGCTTTGTAGCATACAAGTCTACAGTGATAAATATAAATGCCATTTTGAGTTTATAGTATATTTATTTATAATCAGATGTAAAAGATGAGGAGAGTAAAAAAAGTACAACCTTAACTCGGAGACAGCTCATGGTTACATACATATTAGATTTCCATACACAGCACTATTATTTTCATTTTAAAAATTCCTATATTCAAGTAATATAACACATTCCAATGACCCTGTGCTTCCAGTGAAAGGCCCCTCTCCCCCTCATCTGTCTACACAGCTACTGTAGATGTACAGGTATAGTACCACACTACTGCTGCAACCCTTTCCAGTATGTCTGCTGACAGCCCAGAAAATGAACATGATGTACTGAACAATGGTTTGTGTTACGCTTCAGTTTGATGTACAGCATGAGGTTTGACATCAGTGGCACACAAAAAACAAGAAGACTGCCATGTAGAAATGTGTGCTAAATTAAAAAGAAAAACAAATGAACTCTTTAGAGGGTATGTGACAGAGTGCAGTCATTGAGGGGGCGGGCTACTCACTTCCACAACAGCCTTACTTCAGATTTAAAGTCCTCCCATCTTTATGGTACAATTCTTTCTATGATGCCTCAATAACTCAAGGGTTCATTCAACAACAGACAATGTTAAGTCCAGTAGCACCATTTGCATCTAAGAAAATACCTGCGCACACCCACACACTTGTATGCATGTGGTAACACACAAACACACACAGATGGGATGTTCTAGGAGACATACAGTAGGCAAAGCACACAGGGTGAGAGTGAATACTGTATGTACCACTGAATTTTCCTGACTTGCATGCGAGATGGTGGCTGTATATATTTGTATTACTAAATAAGGGGCTCATGCTTATGCTTGTGCTTGTGAATTTCAATTTTGAGATACAGTACATTAGATGATTCGTACAGATTCAAGACGTGATCACATGAAAAATGACAGAAAGTAAGAAAAAACACAATGGTTCTTGGACAATCCCCCCCAGCATTGATTATGGTAACACTGGTTTCTTCAGAATTTCCCTTAATTTCCTAGAGCTTTATACTCTTTTATACACCTATATAATCTGACAGCTGAGACATGATTATTGTTTTAGACACCAGCAAACATCCTATTATTATTTTATCTCATACTTTGATAGAGGAGCAAAATAAGTTAGGGTCAAACCCAAATCTTTTCATGTTCTTGTTATCCATCCAGTTGATAAGGTAAAGAAAATAGGATAAGAGTCTATTTTGGAGTGCTGGGCTAAGAGTGCATTCCCAGAACAGCCAGTTTGTTTTTTCATTTGCTTATCATTTTTTCTAGTCTAGGGTTGACGAAGGAAAAGCCAGCAAATGCTGCCTGGTCCATGGAGTCGATGAGGTTCTTGTCTGCCTGTGAGAGGCGAGGCTTTTCACTCAGGAACTCTCGGTCAAAGTTGCTGCAGTCACTGGGGGATTTCTATGGGTGGAAGGTCAAGGATTTCAGTTAGGTTAATGTAACAAAGCACACTGAAGTACTCAGTATCCTAGATGTACACTATTATAGTTACACAAATGGATTCATGATAAAAAACATAGTTTGCTCAGAACCAATATCATAGGCTCATACCACTTTTGGCTTGAAAGGGGGATCCACTTCTCTTTTCTCCAGTGCTAGCCAGTTGATGGTTTTGAAGAATGCATGTGCACGGATGTCTCCCACCACACCCAATCTGCGACTAGGATCTCGCTCAAACAACTGAAATAATGACGAGAGGCAGACAACTTCATTACAGAAACTACTCCCTGTAATATTATATAGTGAAAAAGAGAATTGCATGCTATGATATCCATATGTATGATTTAAATGCTGCATTAGCCTATATGGGACATATATTAGTTATTCACCAGTTCAAGCAGGTTCTTGGCTTCCTTGGTGATCCACCGAGGGTAGTGAGGGGTGTCCGACCTGATGGATTCAAACAACTCGTCCTCATCATCACCTTGGAAAGGTGACTGACCAATCAGCATCTCATACACTAGCACACCAAAAGACCACCAGTCCACTGAGAAGGTGTACTTCTGTCCCAACAGGATCTATGACAAAAGAGAGTTTCACAAAATGCATCAGAAGCGCATAAGGAGAATAAGGACATAAAGGAATGTTTGGAGACTGTGAATCACTATGGTGTGATTTTATCTGTAGACACTGCCATGTCCCATAATGGCCACAAGGTGGCATATATATATATATATATATATATATATATATGTATGTGTGTGTGGGTGTGCGTGTGTGTGTGTGTGTGTGTATATATATATACTGTATATATATATATATATATATATACTAATTGCAGAAAATATAAACATACAAATAATATATAAAGACTTGGATGGTGAAGTAGTGTATGAAATGACAAAATGTACTATCAGCCAGGTCTTAAAACTGACCTCTGGTGCAATATAGTCTGGTGTTCCACAAAATGTTGTGGCTCTGGCCTCTCCGATCACATTCTCTTTGCACATGCCAAAGTCCGCTATCTTTATGTGTCCATCCTTGTCCAGCATCACATTGTCCAGCTTCAGATCTCTGCAGAAAGTCACAGAAAGAGATATATGCAATGTACAACCAGTTATGCTACAGTATGTACTGTTTGACATGCTGCAGTCTAAAATCCAAAAAAGAGATTGAGCGTGTAACACGGAGATTGCAGACACCAGTGATATAGTGGTTATTAGGTCTTACCTGTAGATAATACCTCTTGCATGGAGGAACTGCAGTCCCACTATTATCTCAGCAGCATAGAATCTGAAGGTTAAAATGTGCACAAAACAATCATTAAACACAGTTTTACAGTGATTAAGAGCTACAATTACAGATCCTCAATTGTGGAAAGTGAAAATTGCTTCATCAATCGTAATTCTTTACATGGTATCCAAGGCCCTGCTCAGACCTGGCATTAACATGCACATCAGGTGATCCAATCACAAGTGGTCAGCTCCTAATACAGGTGTGAATGCACCCAAAACCATTGTGGAAGCATTTGAGATCCGATCACTCATCCGATGTCTCTCTCTCTCTCTCTCTCTCTCTCTTTCTCTCTCTAACACATTCAACACATTGACAATGGACCTGTTTGTCATAGTCTGACTGACTAAAAACAACGTGTTCATGTTTATTTGCATATAGAGCGGGAAAGTGAGATCTGATCACAAGTGGTCACTTGAGACACATGTCGAGATGCAGTCTAGCATCAGGTGTGATCGGACGTGCTTAGAGCTGTCCACTTGTTATCGGATCACTGAAGACGCATGTTCATGCCAGGTCTGAACAGGGCCCAAGTGTACTCACGTGGCTCTGTTGAGGTCGAAGCGGCCTTTGTCTTGAATGTGGAACATCAAGTCGCCTCCATTCAGGTACTCCATTACAAAGAAGAGGTGCTCCTGTGCAAACAACACATTATTGTCAGCTCACTGTTGCAGACAAATGAGACACGAAGAGAGTGTGAGAGAGAGTGGATTCAGATAAGGGGGGCTGGGAGTGGGGGTTCTTATCAACAACTGGGAGTTGTTGCTTTTACCGCTGTGGCCCAGATTGACTCCCTATCACACAACATGCTTTTTAAGCTTTTACTGCTGAGATATTAAGTATGTGTGTGCTTACTTTAGACTGGAATGTGGAGTAGAGTTGTGTGAGGAAGGGGCTCTCCCAAGCGAGGGCCAGGACTCTCTTCTCCACCATGGTACACTCCACATCGTCATCCATGAGAACTACATCCTTCTTCAGAACCTTCACAGCGAAGTACTGACCCTGTCCCTTCAGCTCTGCCAGCAGCACCTGGGGTGTCAGAGTCACTTAGAGTGAGTACTTCATCAGTGTGATCACAGGAGTTTCATGGGGTACAATAATAGCCAAACAAATCAAAATGAAGTTATTTATATCTCTTCCTTTTTTTGGTTTTCTTACATGCTCTATCTCGGTGAGGACACTGCACTGCCACCAGGCTACAATGGGCCTGGATATAAATTAACCTTCTATACTTGGCTTCTATGTTTTCCTCAAATATGTCAACCATTAAAGGCTACATGATTTGTCAAATGTTGCCGGGGATCTATAGTGATGGAGACACAAAGCTCTTTCCTCATCTGAAAAGCATCTCCCACTCCATTGTGCGAGGGAAGCAATTTAACAGACAGTGGGGGGATGTATTGATCTACTACGGTATCTAGCCGAGTCTATCAAAATTGAGAGCTGGTGAGAGTTGGTAATATAAATTTTAAAAAATGTGGTTCAAGGAAAGACAGTGACAGACTTTGATGACAGATGAGAATCTGTCTCTTGAAGATGTGTGGCCTTCAGAGGCCACCTGTATTAGAATTCATCTCCACATGCTTGTTTTTCTCAGTAATGTCACTTGTAACCATTTCAAACTGCCTAAAACATGCAGATTTGGAACTTTTCTGTCTTTTTTATTCCTTCTTTTCACATTTGTTATATTGGTTAGGTTGTGTTCATCTACAAAGTTTAATACATGTAGACAATTTCAGGATGAGTGTGATGTTCTTACTATGTATATATAATAACACTGGAATGCACATGTTTGTGCAATGGTTTAAGTTTACAGAATTTTCCATTTTTGTGTCCAAACAATCATTTAATGTTAAATTTAGGAAAGGGTTTAGAGATGGGAACCATGGGGCATACCTTGCCAAAGCTGCCTTTACCTAGCACCTTGTGGAACACCAGGTGGTTGGTGGTGAGGTGTACCCGGGGGACTATAGATGCTGCTGGGGCTGGGCTCAGGCCATCACCCGCCTTGCCATTGCCACCTGCTATAAATACACATTTGTATACAGATAGTAAGTACATATGCAAATCTGAATGCAAATGATTTGATAACATAGATTATGTCAAACAGACTATCAGCAACAATACCACATAATTTACCCTTAAAGATAACACCTGATTTAAATACATTTTAAAAACAGTTATAGTTTGTGCTACAATGAGCACATCTTACCACTAGGGTCTACTGTTGCACTTTGGATGTCTTGATAGATCCCAATATTTTCTGCATTGGAGTTATCAGACTTCTTCATAGATTTCTAAGGAGGAAAAAAAGTTATGCTGAAACATTCATGACATTGTACATCCACAATGAATAATTTGTTCTTAATGTGTTAACCCCGACTGGCATAAAATGTACACATAGTCAACACAAACTACAAGACATGTTCTGTTACTGTGCTAACCTGTGTGACTTGAGACAGAGCCTCTGCCAGTAGTTTCTGGTTAATTCCACACAGATTGGCCACTTTCGTCTGACAGTAACTATGTACGTTCATGCCACAGTCTGATCAGAGAAGGAAAAATGTCAAATGGTGAAAGGGAATACAATTTCAGATGTAGAGCATATAAAACATTGGAGACAAAGCAAAAATAAACAAAAAAAACAACAATGAACACTTTAGAGTCACCTTCACATTTAAGGCCCTGTCTGTAGAGACCCCACAGCAGACTGCCACAGTGGTCGCAGAAAGTGGGGCTCTTGTAGTTGTAGTACTTGAAGCGATGTGGCATATCAATCTTGAAGCGCTCTTTCTGGAACTACAAACACACAGAAATCCATTAAACCCACGGATAACTGCCCTCTGATAATTAAAGCTGACGAATGTAGTAAACTTTGGTAGTTTGGCAAGTAAATGTCAAAATAAAATCCCACAGTTAATATTTGAGCACGTCTCCATTGATTTTAATACTGAATTTAATATCGATGCTGTCTGTACATTTGGGTTTGGCCCTGTTTGGTTGGATTTGTATTCACTTGGGCCAAAGCACTGCATTCTTTATGTTAGGAATAACAGTGACTAAATTAATGATTAATGGTCTGCCTCGTTCAGTAAGTCATAAAATAATAAAGCGTGAGAGAAAAACAAAATTATCTTTGAACTATAGCTAGGAACAAGTAACAAAGGATAATACTGTAAAACAAAAATACAGTTCCATGTCAGTGTCAGATCTGAGGTGTAAGGTGCAAATTTAGCATGCTGGAGAACATTCATTTTGCTCACCACAGTGTCACGACTGTTGGCTGCTGTTCCAGTGCACCTGCCAATGATTTTTTCGATACATTTCTTGTGGATTGCGGCATTGCATTCTGGGTGAATAAAAAGACCAAATATTGCGATAACTGTGAAGACCACAACAGGATAAAATGTGATAAAAATGCAGATAGCAGTTAAACAAAGAATAACCACTCACGTCTGCACTTGTAACCTTGCTTGTTGAGCCCCCTAAGTGGGAGAAAAGAAATGGAGTTAAATGTGTGACATAAAGCAAGAAAAGAAGAAGGAAAAGTGTGATGCTGATATCAGAGCAATATACTCAGGATGATTTTCATTACTAGGATTGTGATGACAATGATGTACTGTAGCATGGAGATAATAAGCAGCATAATATGCAGCAGCTACTAAACTACTTCTGAACTGTCTGCAAACTTTTCTTCAAAGTATTGTGGAAGTAAAAAAAAAGAAAAACAAACTGAGACAAACATGAAAGACCTTTTGTCGGAGTTGGCACAATTATCCAGGGGTTTTACATTTGTTATCACTAAACTGGAAGACATCTTTCACATCTTAGATCAAGAGATTATTATTGTATGAGTGTGGTAATGGCCACAGAGTCACTAAAACAAACATCTCCTCACGTCTGTAAAGGGGATAGATAACATTGTAATTTGAGAGACAGGGGAGGAGTTTGACTCACAGTAGGTTCTGCTGACATAGTTGGAACACAACATTACAACCTTGTGGGATTTGCCTAGACAGTGACTCACTCTGACAATAGCAGCCCTGCTGTTGTTTCTACCATTACTTACCCCCCAGGACTGCTCCATTTAGGAAACTAGAACCGCTACTAATTGGTCTTTTGACAAATACCCTTTGGGGGCTGGACTTTTCTTATTGGACAACTGATGTTTTTGTTCCCATTTGGTACCCAAGGAATATACAGTAGGTGTCGGCACATATGGTCTGGAATTATTAAAGCTGTGCCAGTGTATTAATAAAGTCTTAATAAAAATACAATGCTGATTATAATACTGTAGAAAAACTAGAATTACTGCCTCGTTGTTGTATGCCTCCCTCACAATCTCCCCTTCCTGAGTTACAGTTTTGAATAATTGCAAGAAGTGTTTTTGCAGAACATTATGATGTCACAGTGAAGTTGACCTTTGACCATTTGAATATAAAATATCATCACACATTATTATCTATTAGACATTTGTGTTAAATCATGTCATAATTAAGATCATGAGTTATGGCGAGAAATGTGTTTGTGAGGTCACAGTGACCTTGACCTTTGACCACTAAAATTTAATCAGTTCATCCTTGAGTCCAAGTGAATGTTTGTGCGAAGTTTGAACAAATTCCCTAAAGGTGTGACTGAGATCATACGTTCATGAGAATTGGACTATCAGACAGACGGACAGATGGACAACCCGAAAACTTCAGCCCAGACTGTTGCCGGTGCAATAGCACAACAAACTGACAGGCAAATTAGCTGCTTCTGGATAAGTCATGTCCAAACAGAGTAGCATTACTGCTATAGTCTCTCACTGTAATGCAAATATAGTGTGAAGGATTTTTTTTGCTCTTTAGGTATTTTGCCTTTATTATTAGGTCTTCAGGTCTCTGGTGTAAGGCCATGTCTCTCCACAGGTCACACACAGCTCTTTTACTTTAAGCAATGGTTCAATGTTAATTTCTTGCACAGCTGAGGGTGTTCAGCTGCACATTCCCTATTGGCAGTTACCATAGCAACCAAGCACAGACCCTCAGAGATACCGATGAATAGTCATAGCACCCTAAAACCATAACCTCTTCATGGTCATGATTTACACACCTCTTCTCTAAGAAGGCTGTGAATGTTTAATAGTTACGCACAATGTGACTTAGATAAACGTTATTCTTTGTATAGAATTTAGTACCGAGAGTCTTCACACACGAATGAATGTGATGTGGTTCCATGAAGAATAATCTTATTTGTACACGTAGCAATTAATATGTGGCATAAGGTTGAACATGGTTATCTAGGATCCTTCCTTCAGAGTTAGGATGTCAGTGTTAACTTGTACTGCTCATTTCTCTTTCCCTTTAGTTATCCAGCTTCAGTAAATGCTTCTGGTTAAGACATCATCTGAGTCTCCACATTTCCATCACACTTACGGTCAAAGTGAAAGAAATGCCGCGCATGCTAACCAGCTAAAGTACACAAACATAACAGTGACATAGTAGCGACAGCTGTCATGTAACAAAGGCAGAACCTAGCATCTCACCAGAGGAACTCTCTGCAGACAGAGCAGAAGGTGGGCTGGCCGAAGAAAGTGGCAGTAAACTCATGGTTCTTGATGAAGTGAACCTTGGGCTGCTTGAAAGCTCCTCTTCTCCTGTTGAGGGTTGTGACTCCATCCTCAGGAGAAACCTTCACTGATGGCTTACATGCCGCTGAGGGAAGAGATTTACAAAAATTTACAAACCAAATTACTGCATTTCAGCTCAGGTCTACAGACAAATAGTACATAGCTTACCTGTTTGTCAGCTTTATATTGAAGTGTTATGCAAATCCACTTTGATTTCCAAAGGCAAATAAAAATGATAGTGATAAAATGCAGTGTGGTGGGAGTCTTTTTATTTATTAACCATCCTATTTTTTTTTACAATCTACATAGCTGATTACCTTTGTTGATGGTCTTTTAATGACATCATAGTGGGCACTATCATAAATCAGTCATCAGTTCTAATAGCCGAGGCGTATTCAGTAAAAAATCTCTGTTGAGTGGGGAAAGAAGCCACAGGCGCTGCTGGTAAATGGAGGGCAAAAAATGTCTTATTGGATAAGCAGCTCCAGTTGATGCAAGTCAATGTGGTAGGGTCAAAAGTCAGAGAAGACAGCGTGAGAGAGGTAAACAAAGAAAGCAGAAGCTCTGGAAGAGATAGGGAGAGTAGGTGGGTGGATGGGAGGGAGGAAGGGAGGGAGGGAGGAGTTAGAAAGAGGGACAATTCAAAAAAAGGAGTTGCCTCAAAGAGACAACTGATAGACAAGGAAAAGTGGGAAGAGTGATGAGGTGAGGGAGATAAACTAATTTCCCTTCTGCCATTCTACTGACAGATGTTTATGTCTGGACAGCGCTTCAGTGAGCTGAGCTGAGAAAGTGGGAGTGAGAGAGAGGGCAAGAGAGGCACAGACAGAGAAGGCAGACAGTGTTGAGGGCTGTTCACACATGCCTAAAAATACTCTGGGCTGCTTTTCAGGAAACCTGTGGAGTGTGTAGGAGAGAGCTGATGGAGTAAGGAGCTCTTTCATAACAGGAGGCACACCTCCGTCTCATGACCCGCTCCAACCCTGAACAGTGAACCCCAACTGTGTTACTCCCACGTAAGAAAACTCCCCCTACACAGAACCAGTTTGTAAACCTCTCTAGGCTGGGCTCCCTGTCTGGGCTACTAAGCTGACGGCTGAATACAGAACTTGCCAGCCAGCACTGCTTCACTTCTGCTTCTGGCAGCTGAAATGAAACTAAAATAGGTTTATGGAGGCTAATAATGATAGCAGTAAGATTTTGAACTTGTGCAACCAATGGTTTTGCTACTATTCAATATGTTTACACGGAATTTTTACTGAAAAAATTCCAATCCCACCACAGAGATCTAAAACTCTTCATTGAAAGGTTAACATAGGATAAAATAGACCTTATACACTGTACATGTTTGCTTAACCCACGTCCTAGTGAACCTATTACTATATTGTATCAACAAAAATGCATGCTTTCACTGTTTGTCATTATATATTGAGCCAAGTACAAATATTTACCACCGGCTACTTTGGCAAAGTAAAGCCAGCCCTGAGGCCAAAATCCTACATGACCTTGAAGAATTTTTACAGCACATTAGCTACATGGCCACACCTGTAACCACCTGACAAGCTCAATGTGAGATATGTCACCAGCATGCAGATTAACCCTTGACAGCCTAAAGCAGACGGTTTATAACAGGGCAGTCGGCCTGGAGGATAATTCCACATTTCAACGCAGAGAGGTTCATAGTAACTAACATGTTCGGCTGTGGTTGTGTGTATAAAGTGCGGGGAAAATTAACCTCTGATCAGGATCCTTTCTGCCAGTAGAGGGCATTACATATCAGCACAGCAGTAGAGTGACTTTCTGGGGGGGAAGGAAAAAGAAGGGGGGGGGGGGGGGTCAGCAGACTGTCTTCTTTACAGAGGAGAACCAGTCCCTGGTGGTCTAGTGGTTAGGATTCGGCGCTCTCACCGCCGCGGCCCGGGTTCGATTCCCGGTCAGGGAAAACTTTTTAAGAAGCCCTGCAAACATATTTTCTTAATGACCAACTTACTTTAAGTATTGGGGGCCGACAAGGGCATACAATTTACTACCAAACGAAAATGTTTTGGATGTTTCACATGAGAGATTTCTGTCTGTGCTCTTTTCACTGATTTGAAATGGGCTGGGTTCAGTTGGAATAAGGGGAAGAACATACTTCAAAGTACCAATTAGGATTTGACAATATTTGAATCTAAACATAGTGATAATTGTGGGGTTGCTTGCTTATGTTTCTAGGCCACTGTCAATGAAATCTGATGAAAGCACACCCACACAGTCCTGATTATGCAGATTATCTTTTTGAGTGTTCAACTATTAGTAAATAATATTCATGGATATTTTTTGTGAACTTCAACATATTTAATATTACAGAAAAACACTTTAAGATTTTAAACCAAATATTCTGAGGCCTTGTAGAAGTTTTACCTGCATCACTGTCCTCCAAGAAGAACTGTACGGCCATCTGGACCCTCCCCGAAGGATGAAGGTCCACCCAGAACTCAGTATGGCCACTGTTTTTGGATTTCTTACAGCGTTCTGCGAGTACAGACACGCCCACCGTGGCCTTGGCCAAAGGCTCCTCACTGCTCTGCATGAGGACCACTTCTAGGACACGCCCTTCATAGATATGAGCATCAAAAGTGGACCTCCAGGCTGGATACATGGTGGGCTTCCTCTGGACCAAGGTCATTCCTCGCTCTGTGAAAGAACATAGGGACCATCCTTTGTAAGAAAAGGCTTGTCTTTTACGTTTTCATTTTCAGGAAATTCATAGTAGAGGAATGGCTTAAACACAAAGTACCAGGAGTTGGTAGAGAGCCAGTTTGCTTGTGGACTTATGGACTTTTGAGCCCAGCAGATGGTGACTGTTAAGACAATTAAACTGGGGACATCTTGTCTCCCTATTCACTGTTCCACTCCCCTGTCTAAATGAAATTATGATTGCACACATGTATGTGTGCATCTGTACATACCTGTGTTGACAGACTCCTTCATCTTGATGGCACAGATGGGAGGGTCAGAAAGAGGAGGGAGAGCACCCACGTCATAAGCATTGAGGTTGATACGCAGGAAGGGTGCCATGGTGACGGCTCACCTAAGCCTCCTAGAATGGAGAAAAAGACTGACATTTACATTTACATACAAACATACACATTCATCTTGTATTTGGATTGCTCATGGCTTCTACTTAAAACAAGAAGGAAGAAAGTCAGTGGCAATAGTCAAGTGTTCTCAGAAGAAGCAGAAGTTTCCAACTCAAGACACAACTTTGGAAACTACCTGCCAGAAGTGAGGACAGAGGGAACAGAGTGGTAATCCTGAACTGAGAGAGCAGGATGAGAGACTGAGACAGAGAGTGACAGAAAGTCAAAAAGATCACATTTCTAAAACAAACAGAAAGCCCCAGTGTTAAGGAAAAGACAAATAAAAGTTAACAGATAAGCAGTGGAGTTTCCATGCAACTAGTTGGCTGTAGATATTTTATATGTGTCTTGGAAGGGCTTCTGCAGCACTATATCAGAAAACTGTCAACACTAGCATCTTCCTTGGTGATTGAGTGGACAAATGTAGACTACTTCTAATCTGGTGGGAAAACAGTGGTAGTCCTGTTTTTCAGCTGAACTTTTTCTGTGAACTTTAAAATAATGAAATGTAGGAAATCTAATGCAGGAAATATACAATGGTCCCGATATATCATGTAAGATTTAGTCAGTTGAAGACAAACACGTTTTCTGAAGGAGCAGTCGGTATCAGTAGGACACCACACCACCACAGTACCAGGAGGACAAACACTTGTCCTGTGTTTTCAGTTTTGGTACACCGTGTTCAGTAAATCTGTGTTCTTGAATAGCAAACTGTCATATTGTGAAAACAGTAGTTAAAACTAGTGGCATTTCCATTTAAGGGGCCTTGTAATAACAGAGATTACAAAGGATGAAATTTTCTAAACTTAGGGGGCAGTCAGTCAAGCTTCATGTTGTATAAAGGAACTGTACTAACAAACACTTTCTGAACCTTTGAAGTTATCCAGACTGCTTCACACCAGAGTCACACAAGTGCTACGTCACAGACTAGAAGGGCCCAGAGGGCATATTAGCCTACGACCTAATTCCCAGAGCAGCAATAAAATCCCACAGAATTCCTCCAAGAATTTGAACACAGCACTTTTTGTGAGCTTTTAAGTTCCTTAACTTGATCTCTTGAAGCTTTAGTTTCTTGCTCCATTAACATAATCTTGGTTTAATAGTCATTTCAGAGATATGGCACGCCTGTGGTTTTAGGCAAACAGCATTTTATTTTAAACTCACAATAATGTTTGAAATTACATTTCTGGGCAGTAATCTCTATAAGCAAAATGCACAGAGACACGTTCTTCTCTTAAGCTTGAATGAATATGTACATGAAACCCCTGGACAGCAATGTACTGTAGCTTCTTGTTTCTGCTTAAATAATTAATCATTCATAAGGAGACAATTTTTGTTTGTGTTTTTGATTCTTCATGCTTTTCACAGTGCTGATTGTCATGCATTATGACGTCCTGAGTGACTGAACCAGTACTTGTGTGATATACAGTATGTACATGTATTCCTCTCAGCCTATAAAGGTAGACTATGCTATTTTGAGCTTTGGTTGGATCCAGATCACCTTTTAGTTTGTCCGCTGAATAATACCACTCTAATTTTAGCTTACGCATTTTCTTTCTGCAGTTTATATCCTCTTTAACATCCAATGTTTTTCTTAAATCCCCATTGCAAGCTGCTTAGCAGTACAACCCATTACTGTACCTGCACTGAGCAGGTCTCAGGTGTGAATGTTTTAATGTGTATAATTGTGCAGCTGTACATAATTCTTGATAAACTGACTCACTGAGGATCTGTAGTGGGTAGTTGCTGGTTTGATATCCCAGACAAGCAAGAAAAATCTGGGATGGGAAGTGAATGACAAACAGTAATGTCTCGGTAGCCATCACTAAGGTGCCATTTGAGCAAAACTTTTAACCATCAACTCCTCCAACAGTCAGAAGTTATTCAGTAGCCAGCACACAGCTGAGAAAAAAATGTAAACCAAATTGGCATGTGACCAACTTTTTGACTGCAGCTAAGTACACTTAAGTTAGTGAAGCCACTTTCAGAATGAGAAAATAGAATAATAATCTTTCTAGCTGTGATCTGATGACTCTTAACACTGAGCTATCATCCTGTCCTGTATTACTTTGAAATCACAAATGCCTGCCTGGGTTTAAGTGGGATCGAGAGGGATGATACAAAAAAACTTAAACAATCTTTGCCAAGAAATAGCATCGCTACCGCTGTCTTTAGTCATAGTTACAGCAAAGTAAAAAAAAAAAAAGACCAGCACCAAAGAGGACCATGTTATCATTAGGCTAGAGTGAAGACATTGTTTTCACATAAAAACAGCATGTCTGAAAACATTTACAAAAAGTGTCTAGGCATGTAGATGTGTTATGCACCATGTAGCTTCAATAACTGAAAATACATGTTAGCTACATCTATACATCTCTTACATCTTTACATGCTAGGTATATTTTGGATATGTATTTCCAGCTGTCCTCCTCACCAGTGTCTCCACTGGGCTGAGAATAACACATCTCTGTTGTTGCTGCTGGAAGCTTTGTGTGAACCTGCAGGCATGTCCAGTATCTAAAGACGATCTAAACAAACCACTGTTTCTAAGTGAGGCCAGGAGGGTTGAGAAACTGTTCAAGCTCTCATAACTCTGCCCACACACAGACACAAAATAATATTAATCAATGTCACTGAGTTTAACAAATACATTATATACTGTTTATATATATAGTTTTACAGCCTGTTACCAGTTTTCTCTCTGCTTTACACACACACTCTCTTATGTACACATGCACTGCTACATAGAAAAGAGAGCCTTGTTTCCCCAGAGAGTGGAAAAAATGAGCACATGCAATTGGGGAAGGGGTGGGTAGAGGAAAAGAGCAAGAGAGAGGGAAAGAAAAAAAGATAACTAACTACGCAGGCCAGTGGACATGAGGAGAAATCAGACTCAATGACAGAACCAGATTTGCCTTCACTGGATCTAGAAGTCAGCTTCCAGTGACATGAAAAGTGTTCATGCGTGTGTACGTGTGTGTGTGTCCTCAAGGAGCTATTTGGTTACTCTTAGGTATGTCTTTAGCTTTTGTCCTTGACTGAAAGGTCTGCAAAGAGCCAGTAAATGTAAAGCTGGGCTCCCTGCCTTTGTGCAACACAAAAAGAAATCATAAATTATAAACTCACTTGAAGACGGCATAGTATGCAGAAACATGACAACAAAAACATACAAGTGACTTGGAAGTGTCATTAAATGTCACTTGACATGGGCATGGAAATTCCAGTTATATATCATATCAGCTCTGAGGAAGTTTAAGGAGTGCTCCTATTTGCATAGCTATGTGTCCTGTGTGTAATTAATTTCAAAACCAGTGTTTAATGAAAACAATTACAAAAATTAATTCCTGGAACATTTAATCATTCAATCATTTAATCATGTGATAATAAGGGCAGCAGAAAACCCAATTCACTAATTATCTAGTAAAACGTAGAATGAACCTTGAATTGATGAACCTTTTGTTGTAATGTTGTAAAACAAATCTTCCATTATACTACATGCATCAAGCGCAAAACACTAGTGGAGACAGACATGACTGAGTGTTTACAGGTGACAGGCTATTATTGAAGTCATTCTAATCTAACCAAACACAAGTCAAAGGTTTGGTATGTACTGAATTAGAGGAGACATTTAGAGGAAGAAGTGATCAGGCAGGTCTAGCAGGTTGGGGAGCTCTTGCGTGTCAGCCTTTCATCAGCAGGCCTGAACAAAGACAGGCACAATTATGCAGAGAATCACAACAACAGAGTTTCCATCACATGATAAACAAGAATCATAGCCATCTGCAAAATGATGGAAGAGATAATTTTATTAACCCCTGTGGGGAAATTCTTAGTATTTGTTTGACAACACAGCACTGATAAACGGTTAACCCTTACTCAAACTAAGCCACCCGATTGCCACACAGGAAAATTGGTTTACAATAAAAAGGGACATACATTGTGAACGTTTACATTCATATTCACTTAACCATGAAAAGTTTTTCTACTCCACATAGTCCCACAATTTTAGTACTATGCAGCAGAACACAGATCTTAAAACATGTAAACAAGACAACCAATTCGTTTTTATGGTTAAACAGTCGAATGTTCTTGTCTTGACATAGAAGTCAGTTACCTGACTTCAAGCCCACTGAAAATGTGTTTAATTGAAAAGGTCTATTTAAACTTAGATTTTAATAGCTAGGTTTAAATGATCAGGTTTAAATTCTGCTGATTCCACACCAATAGACCTTTTTTTCATGGAGACATTTGAACAAGTCACAGATGGAAAAGCACAGATGTTAAAAAAAATAAAATAAAATTTGTCTTGTCATTGTGCATGCTGGTTCACTGAGAGTTGGACAGAGCTGTTGTTATCACTAACAATGTGTGCTTTGCTCCTAAGACCAGTCAAAATGTCTGATGTGGAAAAGACCTTTTAGTAGAATTAATTAAACTCACTTGGATGACAAATGTTGAGAAACATTATCAAGACCAGGAGCACATCCAGTCTCCTCAGCAACTGAAGACCAAGTTTTTAAATTCAAACTGAATAATTAGTGTTGAAATGTATAGTATATATTTGACCAGCTTTCTGACTTTATGTGGTCTGAATTTCAGTTTGTGAAATTCTCAATTTCAAAAACTTTCCTTCTAGTACATATCTATTTTAGGGTTCTCAGATTCAGATTGAAAATTCACATCCACATTCCTATTATTCAAAAGCTACGTTCAAGTTGCTCAATTTCAATCAAGTCAATTCTTGTGGTACGTGGCAGTTCTGTCTCCCTCAGTGACAGAAGAAGATCTCAAGTGTCTGGCAAAACTTAATCAAACACGTCATAACAATTTCATGGTTATCATGGTTAGCATCACTACAATAGAACTGTCAGTTGATATCAAACAAGCCACTGTGAGAATACATCAGGTTTGGAGATTCCTGGTTGGCTTGATGTTGCCCTGAAGGAGCCGTCAAGTAAAAACAGGAAGTATTTTGACAAATTTTTCTACTGAATACCATCATATATTTGGTAAGCAAAACCAGAAAATATGGAGAAATGTGAAGGAATAAAACTAAGGAAATGTCCTCTGACTTTGTGTTGTTCCTTCTACAGTTACTTCAAGAGACTGTGCTGTCAACACACAATGACAGAGAAAAACTAGAATTACTGCCTCGTGGTTGTATGCCTCCGCCACTCAGACTACTTTCAGGTTACATCCCTATTTATCGAGAGTCATATAAAATATTATTATTAACAATTTGTGTGTTTTCTGAGGTCACCATGACCTTGGCCTTTGACCTTTAGCTACCAAAATCTAATCAGTTTGGCCTTGGCCCAGGTGAACGTTTGTACCAAAGTTGAAGAAGTTCTTTCAAGGTGTTCCTTCAAGGTGTTCCTTCAAGGTGTTCCTTCAAAGGTGTTTTGTGAGGTCACTACGCCACGTTCATCTTTGAGTCCTAGTGAATGTTTGTGCCAAATTTGTGTTTCTGCTATATCTTGTCCACGAGAATGGGACGTATGTACGCACGGACAACCTGAAAACAATATGCCTCCGGCTCTGGCTATCGTTGGTGTGGAGGCATAAAAAGGAGTGGGGGCTAAGGCTGAGTGAAAGACACAAAGGACCACAACAGACCCAGAACAGCATGGCTGGATGGAGCTCGGCCAGTCGGTGGCCTAGCAAATTAGAGCTGAACAAACATGCTTCACATCATTATAATGAACCTGAACAAGCATGGTCAGAGTCGGGCAGGCCACGCTCCCTCCTAAAGCTAACAACCTGGTCTACAGTCGTGTGTGTAAACATCCATTGCATCATGAAACTGCTCTTTACAATAGCTCAAAGAAAAACAATCCCTCCACATTGGAAATTAAACAGTGATCATGGAAAAAGGCTGTTCTCTTCCTAACTGTAATATCACTGTTGATTGTACAGTGGGCATCTACTGCTGAAATATTGTTTTCTTAGCTTTACACACATTGACTAGAAAGAGCTCCAAGAGTAGGCTACATACTGTACCTCTGTCAAGTCTGTGCAATCATCTAAATTTGCTGTACAAATGAACGTTTTCTTTCTTTACCTGGATCTAGATCGGCATGCAAATATACAAAATGAAAAATAATTATGCAGATTTTTGATCATTGATCATTTCAAATGATGACATTTTTAGAGCTTTAGCAACTTAACTTTGCAGGAGTGGAACTGATGTGCACATTTTCAAAACTGCTTTACAAGTGAAGTGTACAATGCCTATGAGAACTGTAGCAATTTATGTCAAACTGCCCATGCACCTGAGAATTCAGCAACCAGTTAGAGAGAACGTTGAACGTTTGAGCCCAATCAATCACTTGATTTTCTTTTTTACTCCCAGTTTTGACTGACAAATTCATGCAAAATGGTGCAAGCCTCACATAACTTTCCTTAATCCACAAGTCTTGCTACTCTTTCTGAGGCATTATGGCATGTATTATTACCGCATTAACCCTGTCTCAAAAGCACAAGTGTACTTATGGTCACACACGCATGCATGCACACACGCACGCTTGCACACACACACTAATAACCTTGAACAAAGCAGCCTTTAATGAATTTCAGTGGAGAATGGCTTCAAAGAATCAAAGCCTTCATTTATTTCACTAACCAAGGTTAATGTCAAACACCCCTTACCCCATTCACACACACACACACACACACACACACACACACACACACACACACACACACACACACACACACACACACACACACACACACAGATGCGCTATCAGGTCAAAGTAGGACAGGAAAGAAAAGTGAGTGACAAGACCAGAGCTGAGGTTGCTGGTTCAAGGTCAGAGTCGGGTGACTGAGTGTTGTGGTAGATCCACACCAACGATAGCCAAATTAATACAAGCTGTTATTAAGTGCGAGGACTGACATTACACATGGACACGAACTTCAGTCTAACTGTTGTGGAGTGATAACCTTTTCTGATCTTCTCTCCCTTTTTCCTGAGAATCACTGAGCTCTTTGGCATGCCGTAAAACCTGCTATACCAGCATGGAATGAATCCTGCCGCTGTGTGTGTGTGTGTGTATTGTCTCTACATGCATTAAGAGCGGTGTCCATTTCTGCCCTGCTCACAGTTCACAAAGCCTTGGTTAAGTCAGACAAAGTCTGAGCGAGGGGAGCCAAGCAGGATATCATGGTGTGGAGTGCAGAGAGTGACAAGAGACCAAGGGCAAGACTGTGCCAAACTATACTCACTGCTGATTTAGCAAACTTGTGCCTAAAATGTTTGTCCATAATACATAACAGCAGGTGTTCTCTTCATGGGGAAAAATAAGTATCCTGTCGGCAAGTATGGGGTTGTTTCATATTCTATTGTACTTTAAACAAAGTGTGCACACAGTTTTGATGATACTGGGACTAAACAGTGTTGTAGATTTTTTAATAGTATTGCCACAATGATATCCGAGTTTGATGGAGATACAAAACTTTTACTTTTTACAATACATTATTTTGTTGAGTGTGAATGCGCTGTACAAAACATTGTTTCAGTTAATGAAACAAACCAGATTTCTCAACTGCATTGGAGTTTCCTCATTTCGAAGAAGATTTAAATCATAACATATCTCATTAAAATAGATAAACTGGACTAATTACTGGTGTCAACTTTCAGTACTTTACTGTCCTGATGCTCAGTGTTTCAGACTGTAAGTGACTAGTTGATGGTTTTTGACTTTTCATTTGCCATATAAACTCAAGCTTACCTGACTCCAATCAAAATGAATAATTTATTTGAAAAAAAAAAACAGTTTGATATCATATTAAACACTGTCTCAACTATTTTAGTCTGTGATGGGTTAATGTTCGTGCTGTACTATCGAGGAATCAGTATTGCATGGGCAACTCCTGACTGAGCAGATGTCCCAGCCATGTCCTCCGAGCAGCTCATGATGCCACAAGCCAATATTGACACACCAATAACTGCAGTCAGATAGTGTTACCTGCGCTCACAAAGCTGCACTGCCTCCAGAAGAAACCAACAGGATACAGAGTCTTGCCACAAATGCAGAATTGTATTGCATTGTATGACACAAGACTTTCACAAGCAATGGAAGGAATATTTCAAAATAAGATAATGTGTTTAGGTACCTGGGGATCGGACAAGTCATGTCAGCTACTGTGGACACAGAAGGCTGAGTCGTTTACAGCCACAAGAATTCAGGGTAATCTTTACACAGACACTTCCCTTAAATTTAACACTGCCATAGCATAACTCCCTTACCATCCTTCATCACCTTTTCTGGGTGAAATCAATGATTGAGAAACAGGCCACACGTAAGACACAATGAGAATGATGTACTTGTGGCAACAAAATGAAGTAACATGTTATTAGGATGATGACTAAATGCAACCACAGTTGCTAAACCTGAATGCAATGAGGGAAGAACCTTTGCTATTTCAGGCTTGTGGACAAACTGTCTGCAATACGAGTTACACCACAGTGAGCCAAGTGATGTTGTTCATCTGCTGTATTGTCTTTTTAATGACCGTGACACTGGCAGCTTTCTGTCAAACCAGATCGGAAACCAAAGAGAAACCTGGGATTTAATGGAAGTACAGTCCAGTAAAACCCCTCTTATCCAGCCATGAAACTAAAGAAGTCAGGGTATATATCCACATATTGTGATGATACACAATGAATCATCATGATGTAAACTAAATATAATAATATCTATATATTCTGACTGTATGCTGTCTGCAGAATTCAAGACTGTGTATGGACCATATTACTGTCAGGGCTGTTTTTAATTAACTATTTAGCTGCAATATCACTAAGAGAACCCCCTTACTGTACTAAACTACAATAAGCTAAACTGTACTGAACTAAAAATGCACTGAAATAAGTCACTCTATGGGATAAAACAACTTTTAAGCCTCAATACACAAAACTGTAACATGTTGAAATGTATGTTGCTTATGTTATCATGCTCATTTTAAGGAGGTAATTAAGGTGTTTTAAGAGAAAGTTTATCCCCTAATTTACTACTATAAGGAGAAAACCGTCGTTTAATGGTTTAAATTGCCTTGAATGCTTATCTGGCTGTTAGTCATATTGCTGGTCGTTAACTCCAATACATAAAAATATAAATAAAACACAAACCGTTTAACCTAGCTCCATTATAATTTAGCTAGCTAGCTAGACGACTGGAAAGGGCTCCTCTGTTGCCATAGGATACAACACTTCCCTCAAAGAATGTTTGTCTACCGGTGTACTGAAGGCTGTTTCCCCAGTATCAGTGGAAACATGTAAAGTTTTTTTGTTTTTTTTTCACACTGACTGGACCTAAAGGCACTAAAACATGGCTCAACTTCACTTGCGTAACTACAAGTGTAACAGAGCGGGAGAAGGAGACATTCGGCGACAGCAGCTCCTCTCATTCCCAAAGTCAGACAGTCTCTGTACTACTGCTACTGAAGTCAGTCGAGCTGTGCTTCACTGTGAGACGAAACACAAGCCAAAGCCAGGGGGTCAAAGCAAAGACAGGCGACTCTTGACACCCGGTACCTTGCAAGACAGCAAGCAAGTGCTCTTCTCCCAACTTTCAAACACCGAGCTCAAGTTTTCCAACCACGAACAACTTTCACATGAAACTGTGACTTACCTCTTCCGCTGAGCTGCAAAATGTATTGTTTGCAGCGAGTTTGTATCGGGTTTTGTGTCAGAACCACGGTTTTCCTGGTAGTTCCACTTCAAAATCCTAAATGGTGTTTAAGGAAGTGTTCAAGTCGGCTGCCCAGTTCAAGCTGTCTCCTCTGTTTCACTGTCTGCCCGCCCGGCTCTATGGTGCTGCTCTATGGCAGCGCGCGGTGCAGAGTAATGAATGTGTGACGTCAACCAGGTGAATTCCCCAACACACACACACACACACACACACACACACACACACACACACACACACACACACACACACACACACACACACACACACACACTTGTTTCACCATCCCCGTGGGAAACACTCATTGACATAATGCATTCCCTAGTCCCTCACCTTGATCTCCACAACTGAATGCCTGAACCCAACCCTTACCCTATCCAAAACATAATTCTAACCCTAACACTAAAATCAAGCCACAAACGTCAGAAAGCAGTTTCTCAATTTTTGTCCCTGCATGAGTCCCTTTGTTTTAGCGTGTATTCAGGTATTCAGGATTAAGTCCCCACCAGGACTTAAGAACACACACACACACACACACACACACACACACACACACACACACACACACACACACACACACACACACACACACACACACACACACACACACAGAGAAGTGAAGTGAGACTACATGGTTGTGCAGTATGTGCAGTAAACACACATCATGCAGTTATACAATGGAGTCAAGGGTTATTGTTAAATGCTCTGTACACTTCAGGCTTTGGCACTGGCAGAACTCGGCTGACAACACACAAAACCTGATTTTAACATTGGAAATTGACTTTTCTCAGCCAGCTTATCACAAGTGATGCTGTGTCTCCCCAGGATTCAGTTTGTTTTATAACACTTTGCCCTGAGCCTGACACTGAATGTGTATCACACAACATATCAGTGTTGAAAAACGAAACAAAGGAAAGCAGTGCAAAGTTTTGCAGTTACACGCTGAGTGTTAATGTCCCCCAACAATTTTTTCCCTCCAGTGAAAAATGTGTATTTGGCAGGAGAACCAACAAACCAGGAAATCAAAGCAATGTGTATGCTCAGATACACAACTGGTCTGGTCTATCTCTCTTTCCATGTGTCTCTGTTGCACACACACACACACACACACACACACACACACACACACACACACACACACACACACACAGGTTTAGACAGAATGCAGTTTGTGGGCTGATCCAAACAGCCATGAATTTCCATACTGGCCCTGCCCACAGCATGTCCACACTCCCACTCCTCCTCTCCTACACAAAGCACAGAGATCCACGTGGTGCTGAGTCATCAGCCCCCACCCACCAATACCGTATGAGTATAAGAGAAAATGGACCGGTAAATTTAGACAGCCTGTCTCAGCTCCTAAAGGGGTATTTTTAGCTCTAAAAAGGATATAACAATGACGTATAGACCAGTGGTGAATGCTGAGAGATTACTGAGTAAGTCTGGAGTTGCTCATCGCCACTACAAACATTTGGCGCACAGGACAATAGATTTTGATACAAAAAAAATCTCTGCACCACACAAAGAGCATTAGCACCAGGACAGAAGTTTGTGGCCAAGCCCATTCTTTTTCGTAATTTTAAGTTTTCCTTAAACTATAATTTGTGGTTCTGACAAAGAAAAGTATTACATCCTTATTGATTCCAAAGTTTCATCATGATAGCCAGGTGTCCAGTGTAGTCACTGAAATCTTCTACACAACCATAAAAAAACTTAAACTCCCATTACAGTCCAATAAAAGTCATTTGACTTTTTCCATTCCTTCCACTCCCTGGAAGACAATCTATCTTCATTGATGACCTCATGCTGCACCAGTGGTTGTAAATAAAAATTCCACCCAGGTAAAATTATGACAGACTTTTGATCCTATTAGATAAAGCCTGCTTCTGGCTTTCCCAACTGATATGCAGTGGACTTGAGTAACCCCTCTCTGTGTTTTGTCCCGCCCAACATTCTGGTTCAACAGGAACTACATCAAATTGAGGAAACAAGATTTTCTCCTTAACGCCAGCAAGCAAAAAATATTTTCTAACCATCACCACCATCTGACAGAAGAAATGTAGGTTGGAGGCATGCCTCATTTTCTGAGCTAGCAAAGTTATGTGATGGACATAAAGCTAATTTCTTGCTAACACCTGGGGCTGTAGGAGTGCAAAGTTACCCTTTGCAGCTCTAAATTAGAGACACCATTGTTTGCTGGAAGAATTGCAGCTTGAGGTCTTTGTTTGTACACTTCCAAGGGGAGAAACCTGGCTGTTGTTGAGTCTCTCTGGGTTATGCAATTTCACTGTAAGAACACTAAAAGTATGATGTGACACAGTATATACTATATGGAACTACAGGCTTCATATATTGCTGTGTGAATAGACTTGTATCTGGGCAGGGGACCCAGACACTTCCTGTTGTGATGGCCATTTCTGCCATCCCAGCAGTGCCAGGGCAAACATGAATGTGAGTAATGAGAGGAACAGACAGAGGGAGGGAGGGATGAAAAAACAATCCCTAAAAAAAGAGAGAAATGGTCCTTTCATCAAGAGACATGCCACAGACTAAATTTGCCTCACTCTATCTGTCCTCATTTCCTTCTCCCTGTCACTCTCTTCAGCTTTTTCAATTCTTTGCCTAACACAGTCTCTTGTCCCCTCTTCTTTGCTTTAGGCCCTTTTCATGTTTCAGTGTTCAATGTTGATAACTGTGCATTTGTAGACGAAAAACAAGTTCAACTGTTGCTTCATTCAAATGACCTTGTGGTAAACCAGACCAGTTTTTAGACAAAAATAAGCTTGTCTGAGCCCATACATGGCAAAATGTAACATGGAGTTGGTAAAACGTGGTGTTAGATATTCGGTTATGTAACCTTACTTTCCTGTTTGACCACTGCTGAAGTGACGTTCCTCTCAAGCTGTGATAATAACACTAAAAAGCACATCTACAAATGTTTGTGTTGTCTCTGGTCACAACAGCAAATGACACACAAACCCTGAATATCAACAGGGCTTTGATACATTGCATACTCAGCTGCTTATTTTACACTGTCATTCATACTTATCTTCTGTTGTGTAACATTCTACATTAAAGTCCTGTGAATAAGAGCATTACACAAGAACAAAGATCAAATGGAGCGCTTCCTCTTCAGAAAATCCTTACCTCAGAGTCTGCTCAGGTGTGTCTATAGCACTGCATTGGAACAAGATTTTAAGATTACAGCATGTAAAATTTGCTAACCTGACTATAATGCAAGCTATTCAGATTGTCATTGACAATAGATTGCTGTCTGATTGTAAACATAATTACAACATTGGCCAGTTTTTCAGTTGAGTAACGCAGTTCAGGATGCTTTACCCAGATTAGCACTTTTCTCTGATTCTGAATCCTTTTGCCTGCCAAGGATTGCTGTTTTGGTAATGCAATACATGGTCATGGTGTGTACAAGGAGAAGCTGTCCTTTTACTAATTTTAGAGGTCCTTTTCTTTCAGTTTGCCGAGTCTACAGAAACTGAAGGCTATTGATTCAAGCATGCAGGCAGTTACCTAATCACTTTCTGCATCTCAGGTTCCCTGGCTGCTGATGGATAGGTTTTTGCGAATGTGTTTGTATGTGTGTGAGAGACCATGTGACTGAATCCATGCTCCCACCTCCCAGGACTAGAAGTTTAACAAGGTGTCTTTAACTTTCAGGTGCTCGAAGGAATTGAAGAACTTTCCGTGTTTTCAATGCGTTTCTCTCACTTCTCTCTCGCTCTCTTTTGTTACTTCAAGTATGTATTGGGTCAGTGGTACTCCTGGGATCATTTATCTAGAGCAACCCCAATCTTCCTATTTTCTGTTCTGTCTACTTTCTGACTGGCATACAATCACTTCATCTTTACTCATCTAATTGGAAATTAACTTTTGGTCTTGATCTTGGTATCCATTAATAGCATTCTCAGCAAACACATCCTGTTCCCTTCCTTCCTTATTATCTGTATAGACAACCTTTTAAAATGATCAAATTCAATTTTTAAATTATCAAAGAGTCGTGTTGGCTGATAAATTAAAGCCACATCCCTTTTCTTTTCTTTAGTAAGCTCTCACCATGGGCCTGCTCTGATTAACTTGCGCTCATTAATATTGCAGATGTTGAAAAAGAAATAGGCCAAAATGTTTTGTGCTCTTTCTTTTTCTTTAAATATTAATAGCCAGTATTTTCCTGGTTGTGGTCCATTGCTGTCTGACTAAGTTGCTTTAGCTCAGTGAAATTCTTTGGTGTAACTAATAAACTTGTCTGAGAGGGCTTGCATTACCCTGCAGCCTGGCTGTGGTTGGGAAGTGAAAAGCTGGGAAAACAGAAGTGCTGATAGTCTTTACTGGAAGTGGATGGGTATGTGTATTTTACTGACCAAATTATATCTACCCCAAAGACACAGTTAACAATAGTGATAGGTATTCCCTCTAGGCTTGACAAATATGTCACCTTAATTTGACCTAAATTAGAGTCTCCCTTGGGATAAATCAGTGTGTTGAAAATTGATTGACAACAGTACTGTCAAATTCTGATCTAGTATGACAGATGTACTTGAAACAACAATTTCTTGTTTTTAGTGGCGATATTATTGTCATTTGAAATAAGATATATAGACGCTGAAACAACCTAAAATATCTTAATCTTATCTTATCTTATCTTATCTTATCTTATCTTGTCTTATCTTGTCTTATCTTATCTTATCTTATCTTATCTTATCTTATCTTATCTTATCTTATCTTATCTTAATCTATTAAATCTATTATGTCTGCAGAGATTCTTATTATACCTGCAGTATAAAGGGGGAGGGCCCCTGGTAGATGATAAATAACATAAAAATGGCAAATAATGACATTTTACTCATGTCTCTGTTTTTCCTGTTTTTGTTTTCTGCATAAAGCAATACATGTTTCCAGGTCAAGACTGGTGTTTACAGATACATTTTCTATTAATAAAGAACAGAAATGAGAAAACAACACTTCCCTGAACTTCTAGTACGTGCCATGCGCAAATAAATTTGCTATGCTGGTGTAAAGTCAACTTTTGTAATTGTTTGTTGTATCTTATTAATATTTTTTAACTCAAACATCAATTATATGCTGCTGAACAAAAAGACATTCATGAGGAAATCCCAGGT